TGCCCCAACTTTGCCTGAATTTTACCTCAGTCCTTACCCTTTGACAGGAGGTCCATAGCAAAACTAGTTGGGTTCCCAGCTGTGGTCTGAGAGAGGGTCCTGAGGGGGTTCAGGGATGTGACAGAGGAATGTTTCACAAGACGAGGCAAAACATTTTTTATTTTTTCTGCACAGCCCTACTGGAGGATGTGCAGCAACCACCAGCCTGGATCTGCCCCTCGCCTTTCCCTGCAGCCACGCAAGACCTGCTCATCGTCCTGCACAGCCCGGGCAGCACCCTGACTGCAGCAGGGGAAACCTGCTCACTGACATAGGGAGTCCCGGGAGGGCTGGGACGGGGGGCAGCTGCTGGCAGCGGGGACACAGCCCACACATACCGGGTACCCAGCCATGGTGCCGAAGGGTGGCTGCAGTATAAGCACACAGCTCAGAAAGGGGAGCCCAGGGGCTTAGGAAGGATTAGCAAGAGACAGAAGATGGAGGATCAGAGCAAGAGCGTGCTGAGGGGGTGGCAGGAGCTGGGTCTCGTCAGGCAGCACATGCCACTGGCCAGGGCTTGGCATGTCACCACCTGGCCCCAGCACCCACTATCTGGAGCTCCAACCACCCACTTGTCACTTTTCTCCTTTAAAAGGCATCTGAAGCCCTGCCATTATCAGGCAGGGCAGATAGCACTGTCATGCCTGCGATAAACAGGTTTACAGACATCCCACTTGTCCTTGCAAGCAGGAATGGATGTCCCCATTGTCCCCACGTCCCCTTCACAAGGGGCTATAGCTGCCAGTCCCCCTGAGCCACTGAGCATCCCAGTTAGCTGCACAGGGATGCCGAGGATGCGGATCCTCAGGGTGGAGAAGTGAAACTCCACGAAGCAGGCGTGATGCCTCTGTGAGGTGGGATGCAGGTGCCTGAAAAGCAGTGCTGTAACCAGAAACAGGCAGCAAACCAGCCGGAGAGATGTGAGTGCAGCTCTCAAAGCCCCAGTGGAACTGGGCAGGGTGGCAGGGCTGCAGTGGCAAGTGGCCAGGCACAGCGGGGGCTGGCACTGGGGGAAGGACAGGGTGTGCCAGGGGACAGGCTGTGCTCAGAGCTGGGCTGCGGTGGCAAAGTTCAGCTCCTGGCCATGCGAGGCACCGCGGGGCAGTTTGTCATTAAGCTCTCCCCAGCCTGTGGCCCCTCCCGGACACCCTGTGGGAAGAGTTCAGGCTAGCCATAGCGCAAGACTTTCAGGGGCTGGCATGGCCACAGGACAAGTGTGCACAGTGGCTACCCAGTTTTCTGTGGCCCATATGCACACCACCTCCAGGACAGCCCTCAGTGAGCTCCTGGGGTAGTAGGGACAGGGCTGGACACATACGGCACCATCTTCTTCAGCAGCACAAGCAAGGAAGACCCATCCATCAGGATGCATTTGCCCCGGTCCCCACCAGACATTACAGGCATCTTACCAGGATGCAGGGAAATGAGTGTCAACTCCACATCCGCACACTCCCCTTGTCTGTCCTGCACAGGGGCAGCCAAGACGCAGGCAGCAGGGAACAAACTTGCTCCTGCTCAGATGGAAAAATCTCCGAACGAGCATGACTTGGCTGGAACCCTCCAGCGAGGACCTGTAAATCTGCTCACTGTGACACCACCAGCATCCTGTGGAGCACTGGATCCAGGTGGAGAGTCCCCTTGCAGACAGGAGGGGAGGAAGCTGTCTGCATAAAGATGTGAATTTATGTTACTCACGCCTGCTCCAGGAATGTGATGAATGAACTCACAAAGCCCAGGGCAGGAATCAAGTGTGCTTCAGCCCTGACCTTGCCTTTCTTCCAGGCTGAAAAGGAGATGGGGACAAGCCCCTGGCCCCACAACCCATCTGAATTTACTGGGTGCCTTTTCTTGAAACAGCTTTCGCCCTCCTGAGAGTCTGCATGGATGAAAGGTGAGCATCAGAGGCTGAGTCTTTCACCAGGTTTCAAAGCTGGCTGAACAGGGCAAACCCCTTCTGTCTGGTCCCCAGGAAGGGGAGGCAGGACAGCAGGGACACAGGGACATGGGGCACACCAGCTTCCTCCCTTGGGGAGGGCAGAAAAGACCACACACGCTCAATACACGTTTGCATCCTGAAAATGGGGATCACAGCAGATGCTATCACTGTTGGCTCTCGCAGGGTCTCCTAGAAAAGTATTGACTAAAAAGCACATTTACAGCAATGAAACCAACCAACCAAATGCTTGCCAGCTAGAGGCCTGTCATGCCAGGTCTTGTCTTTCTGCAGCCGTCTCTCCTTTCTTCCTCTAACACTGCTGCCAATGCCAATTTTAAGTAAAGGTGTTTTTAAGGCTGTGCCCTCTTGATGGATCAAGAAAACCAGAAGAGATGCAGGGTTCAGTTTCTATAACTATGGAAACCCTTCCTTCTCCTCCTCCCAGTCAAAATCTCCTAGATTTTATTCTTGGTCTTCTCTTAAATTGCACACCTCCCCTGACATACTACTCAGTCCACCAGCACAGCCACGCCCATGCTGTTGTTTGGGCAGGTTAACTGCCCTGTCCTCCACAGCACTACCTCCTCCCTTGGCAGAGGAAAGCAGCTCCACCATGATGCAAACTGACTGTCCAAAAGTGACTGTCAGGCTTCCCAAGGTCTGGCTTGTGTAACACTTGCACTGAGAGCCAGAGCCTGCAGCAGAGCTGGCACGGGCACCAAATTTCCATTTCAAAGGAAATTTCAGCATGTATTTTGCTTTACAACTCTCTGGTAGTGTCCCGGTTACAGCCCACCTCCCACAGCAGGAATGCCACGTTCGGAATTGTTAGTTTTGGTCATGCTTTACTTTTTTTTCACACTATTTCAACAGTGCTGTTACAGAGAGTGTGCTGCTTTCATGTTACAGCATCAAAAGCAGAGATCACAGGGAACTGCTACTGACAAGCTAGTAAAATGCAAAGTGGAAAAAATATTCTAAATTAGCTAAAAAAAAAAAATCCATAACAAAAACATTTTGTCATAAAGTATTGTAGGTATGTCTGGATTTTTGTTTTGTTTTTAAAAGACTTTCCTGACCAGCTCCCTACTACCTTTAAGCCCGCAAAATCGTAAGCATCGTAGTGAGCCTGGAGACCAGTGTGCACCATCCACGTGAATGTGAAGCACAGCCTTCTCCAAGGCATCAGAGCTGAGCCAGTGACATGTCTGATCCCATGTCTGCAAGGCAGAAAAGCAAGAGAAGGATGGGGATAGCAGGGACACGGGGCTAAGGGAAAATATCCAAATGCGTGTGGCAAAACTTACTACGGACTGGAGACGTGTGCAGTAGAGATGACCTGCTCCAGGCAGGTGAGCGCTTCCAAACGCCAGGCTCTGCACTGTGACTGCCTCTCTCACTGCGACTCCCATCAGAATTTGTCCCCTACAATATTAAGGGCTCTATAAGAGGTGGAAGGACCACTGAAAATGGGATACTGACCCAGCTGCACGTACCTTTTTTCTTTTTTTTTTTTTTACAAGGTTCTACAGCAGGAGGGGGAATATTCAAAGGCAAGCCCTGCAGCAACACAGCAGCACATGAATACAGAGAAGACACTGGTGTAGGAGAGGCTTAGTGCCAGCAGCCAGTTTAAGAGTGACAGTTTGGACTTAGGTAGGTCAGTGGTGGGACCTGCCATTCACTGTGCTTCCCAAGAGCCGGCATTTTTCCTTGGTTGCTGAAAGTTATCTTCCAACCCCTCCTCTCAATCCGGTACAAACATAAGCCAGTGAAACACAAGGGAGTGAAGTCAGCTACTGCACGCTGAAAAATGGCATCCATATTAAAGGACACGCATGGGATCATTCAAAGTCAGGGCAGCACAGGATATTGTCTCTACTTGCCTGGACTTACTCCCAGAGTCATCTCTGGGGCTGCTCCAAGAAAGCTTTTAAGTTGCTGGAAACTGCAGGGCTGGCACCCCCAAGTGGTTATGGAGCTCTTCGTGCAGCCCAAACAGCTCCTCTCGGGTCTCATCCATAGTTCATCCACTGATAACAGAAGTGCATCGTCCCCAGCACACAAAGGTTTCAGAGCTCCCCACACCCAGGCAGAGTACAGCCGAGGTATTGGCTCCAAATCCCACTGCACAGGGGTTGAAACCAATTTGGGCACAGATTTCTCAAAGTGATCTCTTCAGATTTTGAAGGAATCCCTATGAAAGCTTTCCCTCACAGAGACAAATCAAGTGTTACAAAACCTTCCTGCAGTCAGTGTTGTTTCTTATGTACATAGGGTTAACCTTACAGATAGGTGGAGGCAAAGTAAAACTGCCAAAGGTCTTTGGTGCTGTCCTGCACTGCTACACACAGCCTGGAGGGTTTCTATCCACTAAGTTTGGTGCCCTTCCTATGTAGCATATCCTTCAGGAATGGCTGTCCTCTCCCACCTCAAGTTATTGATAGGAAAACGTGAGCAGCAGTATAGGATACACTGTCACCATCTGCTAAGTTGTGCAGCTACTCACAGCCAAAGAGTAAATCTTACTACTTCCAAACAGCAAATGAGACTAAACATCGAGCCCACTTTGCTTATCCCAGTAAGGAGTGAATGTAGAAACGATTAAGCCTTCAAATGTCAGTGGGTTTGGCTGCTAACCCCCAAGGAATTCACTCTGCCACCAGCCAGCGTCATGCCCCCCATCAGCAAGATGCATAAGCCAACCTGGACAAAAGGCTCATTCAGAGCTCCAGCGTTGCATCTGCTGCTGCGTTCAAAAGGAGGAGGGAGCAAGGGAGTGAGAGTCAGTCTGAAGTGCTAGGAACCTTTAAACTGCATATGAGGGGAATCAAACTCTGAATGACTCTTGCCCTGTACGACATAACGGCACTGGCAGGGCAGGGACGCGCCGCGGTCACACAAACAGTTGAGAGTAGAACGCAACTCTGGGATGTGAGGAAGGAGCACAGAGGTGTGTGCGCCAGCCAGATGGCACCCAAGCAAGGGTCCTGGCAGCTGTTTCACAAGAGACAAAAAGCAGATGTTTCACAAAAGCTCACTTTCCAGGTTTATTAAGTAAAGTTAACTGAATTGTTTTCATTTTGTGGGGATTCCTTTCCGTCTAACCTGGTGGGTTAGCAGAGTTGCACAGAATCACGGTTGGACTGTGATAACCCAAATACAACTTTGGCTCATCTCACCGCTGACACATATGGAATGACTTGGGGGTTATTACATGCTGTGTCTGCTTGAGGCAGGTACATGTACAGATCAGCACAAGTTGCAAATGATAGTTTACATCCTTTCAAAACAGAGCAGGGCATTCAGCAAATGCACTGCTATGAGAAGACATATGAAAAAGAAATTATACAGACTTGCAAATACATAAGAAGTTCAAGAGATGCAAGAAACCTCAAACACAAGAAATGTCAAGGGGGAAAAAACCACTTAAATTTCAGACACAATGTGTTCAAATGAAAACTCAGCTGTAATTTAAATTCCCTTCAAAATGGGAAACATACAGTAACGCAATTAAAGAGAAACCAGGTCTCACCCTGGGAGAGATGTGTCCAAAACCACTGATGCACAAACAGGTTCAGAGTTCTAAGCAAAATGTCCCTGGGCATTGGTGTACTTGACTCTTGGAGCCAGAGCAAAGCAATTCATTACACTTGCTGGACTGCTGGGCCTACTGCTGGATCTTGGTGGTATAACAGCATATAGGATTCCAGAGAGAAGGCAGCACGCAAACTGCTGGTTACTGGGAGAAATGCACCGGGTCAGATCTCCCAGGGATTGACTATAGTAAGGATACCTAATTCTGGTAGCCTGGCCTCCACTGCACTCGTTAGTGTAATGTTCTGCAAGGTTCTTCAGTTCTTAGCTCACTCCTTTCTCAGCCTGAGTTGTTTCCGTCTTGTGCATGAGCACAACTGGCCGTGCAAAATGATCCAAAAAACATAAGGGACAGGACCAAAGAAAACTGGCTGAACCTGGGGCTGTCTTCCAGCTCCTATTTCCAAATATCAGTTAAAGGTTGGAAACTTATCTACAAAAGAAATAATATAAATGAAATAAAAAATGGCACCGTCCACAAAATTAGAGAAAAAAAAAAAAAGAAAAATCTTACAACACAGCCTTGTAAAAATGGCTTTGCAACGAGAGCTCAGTCACAAAATGAAGGGTTCTAGCTCTTCGTACATCAGAAGAGGAAACAAAGCTAAAAAGTACTAGTCCACATTCTCTTAATAAGTTAAACTTACTTTCCCTCCCCGTCTACAAAAGGGGTAGAAGCAAAGGGGAAAAGAGGCTACCAAAAATTAAAAAAAAGAAAAAAAAAGAAAAAAAGAAAAAAAAAGAAAAAAGAAAAAGAAGAAAAAGAAAGGAGAGCTAAGGAGAGAGCGCGCGCGAGAGAGAGAGCAGTCTGTGGTCAGAGGCTCAGAGCAGGGCTGAGTTCCTTTTAAGGGTTTAAAAGATGCAAAACAGTTCCTCAAAAGTTCCCTCTCTTCAACAGTTAGTTCAACGCTGTAGCCATAGAAACTCAAGTATATATTGGAGTAGAGATTCTTTCAGGCAGATCCACTGTCATCTAGAGAGCTGCTCGGCGTGTGTTAATCCTCAATGATTATGGGTTCATCATTCATGGGCTGGCGTAGCTGCACTGCCTGGATGGGCCGGAGGATAATAGGCTTGTAAGGGCGTCTGGCGGCTCGCTTGGCTTCAGAAGAGGAAAGCAGCTTGCGGATTTTCCTGCAGACAGTAAGAAAGAAAGGAACCGATTACAGAGACTGGATGCTAAGGCGTTGTAGGTTTCTCAGTTTCTCTAAGTGAAACCAGGCCTGCACACGCAAGGACTGCTAGCTAAGGGGATAGGCTGACACTGTTTATTTCAGCAATGTTTTCCCTGGGGAACTTTTGTTTTCTGATTTATAAACCAAACAATGAAGAGGAAATTGCATTCTCTGTTCCAGAATCCTTCCCCTGCAGAGCAGAAAGCATTGTGGTCCAGCTTCATAGGACCAGGGTCTACTGCTATAAATATAACACATGAAATAGTCATGACAAGCAGTTTCCATATCACTAATTTATTTTGATGCACACAAACACATCAGCTGGACATGCTGCAGGCAGCGTTGTGGGAACTGACAGAGCCAAGTTACAACCAAACCTCTTCTGGCAATGCTGGTGACTTCCCTGCCTTCTAATCCATCTCTCACAGAGCTCTCTGACATTCCCCAGCCCAGAGCAGGTGCACACAGCTGCCTCTTCAAAAGCAACACGGCACAGCACAAGCCAGCAGCAACATTTGGTCTCCCACAGAGCTACGCCTCAAGGCTGCGATGCTGCAGGGGAGCTCTGTGACAGTCACTAACCAGTGAACCAATACCGTACTGGGAATCACTAACAGGGTGTCTCTCCCCCTCTTATTTCTCCCACACTGCATATGCCCAACCCAGAAATGGGTAATATTCATGTCTTGCATTTGTTAAGAGTTTCCCTATACATTAAAAGACTAGCAACAAGTTTTATCAGACACAGGAAGCAGTCTGCCATACAGAGAGAAAATAAAAGACAGAAAGAACAGAGAAGGGATGCACCGAAGTATTAAAATTAGCAAAATAATGTAGGAAAAGACAATACAGAATAATTACTTGTTTCTTTTTGTCAATACCAGGTTTAGAGCTAAAGGAAATATACTAAAAAAAAACCAAAAACCACCCACCCCAAAATGAAAAAACAACCAAATCAAATAAACCAGCAACAATGAAAAATGTACTATGTAACTAAAATGAGGAATTAATTTCCAGAGGGTGTTGTGGTGGTCAAAGGCATATAGAGATTAGAAAGGAAAGTGATAAATATTCACAAGAGTCCACCAGTACCCACTATACACAGCCTTAAGCTCAGGAACTGGGGTAACAAGGTCTGATAAGGAAGCACTGCCCACCCTTACAGACTCATAACTTCATGATTTTTTGACTTACCATGAGAGACATGATACTGCACTAGAGGAAGGGCAGCCACATGGCTTTACAATCCACAACTCAACCGTCTATCCCCCAAAGGTAACTTTTACATTTTTGGTTAGTCAACACTGCTGGGGCCAATAAACCCTTTTTATTTAGGGGGTGTGGGGGTGTTGTTTTTTTGGTTGGTTGGTTGAGTTTTTTGGGTTTCTTTGTTGTTTCTATTTGGGTTTGGGTTTTGATTTTTTTTTTTTAATGGAAGAGATGAGTCTTAACTGAGCTGATGTCTATCACTGTGTTATGATTTCTGCATTTGAGATGTGCTGGTTGCTGAAGAAACTGGTCAAAATACTTTTGCCCCCTAAAATTTACTCTTACCACCACCAACTGACAAATCAACAACTTCATCTGAAGACTCAGAATCAGTTCTGGTAACATTTTGGTCATCTCTTCACCTGTTTTGGGTTTGGTTTTTTTTCCCCAGTGAGCAGAACAAGCCTGCTACATAGCACTTACACACAGAGACACATCTTTTGTTTGCTCAGCATCTCCATTTCTCCAGCGCCTTCTAAAGCTGAAAGGCCACAGGGTGGGGAGAAGAAAGAACAGGATGGAAAAGTGGTAGTGGGAAGAATAAAATCTTGATGTGATGATTTTTTCCCAAGACTTATTTAGCTGAAGTTGATCTACTTTTAGCCAGCAGAGCTTCACACTATCTGCATGCGCTTAATTAGACATGCTGCCATCAGAAACATGTCTTGTAGCAGTTCTAGATTCTGATCAGTTCACTCACTGCCTCCATTTGGATAAATTATAAATGCCAAGTTCCTTACTGTGAGGATTGAATTCAAAAACTTATTCCTTTCAATTGACCAACTTTTCAAACTGCTCCTTCAAAGCTCCTCAGTTTTCTGTTCTCAACAGTGCTACACAAAAAGGCGAGGAGAGGGAGTGTAAAACTTTAGGAAAACCTACTTTTCTCTGACTGAAAACACAGTCTGACCCTCAGCTGGAAGATGATATGCAGATATTGCTGCTAGATTGATTGCTATGGAGCCAACACAAAGCACAGATTGTTTCAGAGCTCACAAACAAGTCTCACATTCTTGACACTGGAATGCAGCAGATGGTTCAGAAAAAAGTTAAGAGGTGAAACACCCGACAGAAAGCCCGTGCCACTTACAATGCTACATCACTCAGGCTTCCTTGCTTTTCAGCAGGCTGCCAAACATCTCCTTTCAGCACTCATCAGTCAGCTAAGCAGCAAGGCTGTCAGACAAAGGCGACTGTTCTTTTTTTAATGGAAGAGATAAGGTCTTACTGAGCTGATGTCTATCACTGCACTACAATTTCTGTGTTAGTGATGCGCTGGTTGCCATGGGACTGATTTTTCCTGACTCGGTCAGTGGTTCTGTACGAGCAGATGATTCTCTGACTTTACAGTAAATTGTTTTCACAACCAACATCACACTTGATGAATATCCTCACTGTTCTGTACAGATCAAAGGGCAGGACCTTGCAGTAGTACTGAGACATTACTACCATGAACCTGCAATATTTCTTGTGGGTTGGACGATAAAGATGTCAAGAAGTGTTTTTCAGATGAAGGTTTATGAAATAAGCCTTGAGCACCTAAAGATTGAACTAGAGGCTGTATACCCTGCACCCACAATGGCACATAAATTTGCCAGAGCTGCAGGTCTGTAACAGGATCCCAGTACCTCTTTATTAGAGCAAGATGACAACAGGAGTAAGGAAACTGCTTCCCCTGAAAATTAAATACTTCTCTCACGTTAGCTTAAATTACATACAGGATCCCACTGCTTACTTCCACAGCATCTTGTCGGAACAGAAAAGGAGAAGGGAAAGACAAGGTAAAGATATGAACTGGTGTGAAATGCACAGTTACATAAAAGGTGCCCATAGGAACAAGTCTGACAAGGAAATAAATTTCACATTTCTTCTGAATTCTAACAAGGGGGTTTCCTGCACTGAAATCTGATGAGCCAATAGATCAGTGGTTAGTAACTTGAACGTTACCAGTCTCAGCTTGTCTATGAAGCCCATCCTTGATACTAGGCCCACAGAACAGTCACTTGAAATGTTCTGCAGGCTAAGGAGGAAGTTGGGGATGTCAGGACTCTGACTATGCACTTCACATTGAACAAGTGAATACTCAAGAGTAGTGCCAAATTTAGGAGTACCAGAAGAGACTAAGTACTTAAAACTCCTGACCTCCTTGGTCACTTGTAAGGGCTCAGACATCCAGTAATTCCCATGTCCCCTCTTCTGCCAGATACTGGAGGGAAAGGTAAGTGCTTCTCTGCATGTTAGGGCACCAATACTGAAAGTGTTGATAACACCAGTCTTTAGACACAAAGGCCTGAGAGCACCTCTGCTTGCAGAGAGGGCTGAAAAGCAGGGCTTTGCTCTGACCTTCTTTGAGGTTACTCAGGAGAAAGGCATCAAGTTCTTGGGAGGAAACCACACAAGCTATGTCTCCACCTTTCTCACCATACCCAGGAACAGTCCTCTCCTTCCTAGAAATAACACAGTGCTGGGAACATGCACACAAAGGCTTTGCTTTAGGGATCAGGCCACAAAGCTTCTACCTCTCTGTCAGCAGCCTGTAAACAGAGTTTAAGGTGAAACTCATGCAAGGAAAGTTTCTTTTACTATTTTTATCCTGTGGGCAGACTACCAAGAAGGACTAGCAGAAGCAGAACCACCAATAGGAAGAACATGGACACTGCAAGGCTCAATCTCACCACTACTGGTGGCAAATATAAACCACCGAAGAAACAAGGCAAATCAGCCGCCAGAAACTGTCACTTGCAGCTACACGAGGAGATGTTCTGAGAGGTAATAATACAAGAGACTCCAGCATGCAAGAGGATATACACAGAGCTCTATATATAGGAGGCTGTGTTCCTCAGCATCACCTGTGCTCCAGAAGGCCACTATTCTGCTAATGGGTCTGTGGGACCTCCAAAGGTATTTATGGGACTGAACCAGATGGACTTCCTACCTCAGTCTTCCTGCCCTTATTGCCCATCTCTGCTCTGGAAGAAGAATAATCTGCTTTCTCTGGAATGCAACTGCATGATAAGGCACATCAGATATGATTAGGTATATCACAGCCTTTCTCCACCTCGCACCAGCATTCTGGTGCCTTCAGACCATGGTCTCTGCATTTAGCTTGCAGCAACAGATCTGCTGAAGAGGTAGATCTCTGTCTAACCACAAAATCAGCTGCAGCACCCATGAGGAACAGAAATCAAAAGATCTCCCCTTAAATCCTCTGAAAGACCAAGTCTCCTACCTGGTTTCTTCAGTGGCCATGTAAAAAACATCATCTGGTGCATCAATCCAGTTCATCCTCCTCCTTTTCACTGGAGGCATGGATCCACCACGAATTAATCGGACTTTTGTTGGGTATGATTTCCCATTGAGCAGCAAGTTTCGGCTTGGTCCCTAACGTGATACATAAAAAAGTACAATTATGGACTGCAACAAACCTGCAGCAGCATGTGATAAGCACTCAAAGGAAAAGAGAATTTAAGGTTTTGTATCAGTTGTTGAGAGTTTATGGCAAATATCTCCCCTCTTGCCCATGACTGAACACAGAACTGACATAAAAGCAGTTGTCCACAAGCAGTAGAAGTTAGACACCTTCAATATACAATAGGACAGCAATACTCCAGCGACAGGACAAATAATAAATGGAAGGCATTACCAATAATCTGTTGCTTGTGTCTGAAAGATGACATCTGGTTTGAAAGACTGAGCATAAGACTTAGATTTCAGCTACTACTGTAAATCTAGAGCAACTCTATTGATTTCAGGGAAAGAAATCTAGCTACACAGCAAATCAAATATAAAAATAAGAATTTAGTTATTCTGGAGTACCAAACTTACCCATATCCCTTTTGTTCTAAGCAGGTTAATATTTAATGAGGGTAGTATATAATCAAATCTATTGTTGAAATATCTAGTACTATAAGGCTTAGCAGTTTTCATCATAAAATCCTTTTAACACCACAGATTTCCCATATATAACACACTTGCTTTAAGAATCAACACAGGTATTATTTTCCAGACCCACAGTAACCTCCTTCCACTCAACTGGAAAAACATGAGCTGTTATTAAGAGAGGTGCAGATGAAAGGGAGCAAAGTATTAAGCTTCTCAAATGCAGCTGTCCTTGATCATCTGAAGTCCAGTTCTGCTGCCCCTCTTCCTGCCGATTAGCACATTGAGAAATCCCACTGAAATCAGTAACACTGGACAGTCAGGAAAGATGCAAAATAAAGGCCTAGAAAATTTGATATGCGTAAATTAAAGCTGGTCAGAAAATGCTCCAGTAGAAATTTAATTCTGGCATTTCACAGGCCATCATCCGAGGTCAGACCATCTCCCCAGATGCACCAAGGCTTCCCCTTTCACCCATGAAATGGGAAACTGAATGTGTTCATGAGGGATATCTGGCCTGGAAGATCTACTTCATAAGGAAAGGTGGAGAAATGAGGTATTCAAGTCCTTAAGTGTCAGGTTATGGCAAAAGCTCAACCAAATTTTAACACTGATTTAGAAAGGGAAGACTTCAGTCTGTCAACCAAGGGAAAAAAACAACAAAACTCTGCATCTATTTCATTTTTATCTGAAGAGAAAACAAAAACTGATAGTGACTTTTTTTTTTTTTGACCAGCCTTAATCAACTGTGCTAGCAAGATCTTCTTCCTGTAGAAAATCAGGGCTTTAGAGCTAAACAAACAAAAGCCCACCTTTAAAAATCCTAATCTCTTTAAAGCTGTTGTATACAAGTGCAATAACCATTTCCTTAGTTGCCCACCTCCATGTTACACAGGACAAGTTTGGCACCACAGCAGACCACTAAAATACTTCAAGAATTGCTTTTATATTTCAGTTTTATTAAGGAAAAGGTTTCAAATAAAAAGCTTTTCTGTTTTTTTTTGTTTGTTTGTTTGTGGGTGTTGGTTTTTTTTGTTTTTGTTTTAACCCCCTCCAGATTTCTCCAAGAAAATATTTTCATTAGTGCTGCAAAGGATGTTTTCTCTGCACATACACAGGAGAACACTGAAGAAAGTTCTTGGAATACCTAGAAGGAGCACCCTCCTGTGCTTCCAAGGTTGCCTTTTCTCTACCTGCACAGAGCAATCTGTTTCAAATGGTACATCCTGAAATGTGAACCTTTAGTTTTCAAGTTCAGTAGCATACTTTATCAAGCAATGAGAAATCAAGGCAGTTCAGGGGTTTTACCCTAAACCACCCAAAAAGTGTTAGGCCATCACAGATTTCTCCCACTGCACTGAGTTGGTTTATTCAGCAGACACAAACAAGTAGCCAGTCTCCTCAGTGACAAGAAATGAAGCTGAATTCATGGAGGAATACAATTTACCACTTCGGATCAGATGCTCAAGGAACAAACCAAATGAATGCTTCGTTATTACAAGCAGACCAGCATGCTCAAGTTATAGCCTACCCTCATCATACTGCACACTATCCGAGAACGTTACTGGATTCAGTAATACTTGTGATCACCATTCAGTGACCATCAGTCATACCTGCTGCTGACTGACCCATGTCAGAGTGACTCTAGTGACGCTAATACATTGTGGCAAGCTCCACTTTATCAACACCAGAAGATCATTTCTGGGGAAAAAAAAATTTATGCTTGAAGTTCTCTCCCATGAGTCTCCCACAAGCCATGCATAAGGGGGGAAAATGATGCACAGCCTTTGCACTGGCCCCTTCACACCAAGGTGAGTTCCATAAGAAAGCATTCTGCCAGAGACGCATCAATCAGACTGGCTATTTGCTTCTGCCCTTTGATAAAACTCAGCATAATGGATGAAAGGCTACAAATAATTTTTACTCAAAAAAAAGAACATAAAGAACAAGCATTCTCAGCAGACAACTTGCACACCAACTTCCTAAAAAAAAAAAAACAACAAAAAACTGTTTTCCACACAAACCCTTCCATCATTTAAACCTTCCTCCTTCAGGGAAACATTCCACCTAGAAACACATCCCAGAACTTTGCTATAAACAGCCACTCAGTTTCTGTATGAGTAGAAACAAAATGTTCCATTCAAAATAGATTCTTATTTATATACACATAGATAGATATATAGATAGATTTGAGGTTTAAATTGTATTTAACCACTTGGATGTTTCATATGCCCCAAAATAATTTTTTTTTTTAATTTCAATTAATTGGGAAGTATGACCAGCTGCAAACAGCAAAGATGGAAGTGAAACGCTACGGTTTAATGGGGTGTTCTATCTAGTGTGGGTTAATAATTCTTCTTTTCCCTGTTTTGGTTAAATGAACATTCTCTTACCATTTGTCTGGTTTGTCCGTGGTTAGGCAGACCTAACAAACAGGAAAGAGAATAGAGCTGGTAAGACCATTGCTTTTCCAAGACAGAAAAAAGTACAAAATCTAAACACACGCAGCTATGATTTAACTGTGTTGTTTTGCTAAAACAAGAGTTGTCTACCAGACTAACTTCTCCCCTCCTAGAAAGGTAACTGAGAAAAGAGCTTCCTTAACAACATGGTTTGAAGAGCAGAGGCCCCAAGTTAAAAAATACATTTGATTCGCCCAGTCTTTTCTCCATTTACTCACACCTTTTTTCAAACTACCACTAAAAGTACACCTCCTCTTTCAGATCTGAGGTTTCCTCAAGTCTTGGGAAAAATCTGGCATTCTGTTTTAGCTCTGGAGGAATTTACTGACATCAAGAAGGAGAAAGTGGAAGGTATTATACACTGTCAAGAGAGCAACAAATAAAATCTCTCCTATCATCCTTGGATTCCCAGGGAACTCTTCAGCTCAGACATTAGCTACAATCTTGTAGCAAACAGACTGCTGAACCTACTACAAGTAAATACTTCCATAGGCGCAGCTCCTTCAGTCACAAAGCACGCCGACTTCAGCTATCACACAAAGTCCTTGCCCAGTAGCACAAAAAGCACCATAAAGCACCGAGCACAACAACTTGATTTTACTAGCTTATTTTCTGTACTATCAGATACTCTATCATGCTGCTATAGTGCACGTACTGAACTGTACTTTACACACATAAGCCCTTGTAAGTCACACAAAGGTCTTGCGATATAAGCAAATGACACGTTGCTATAAGGCAGCAGGGTGTGGCATGGAATGGACTGGGAGACCTAACAAGCCTTTTTGTTAGCACCTTTTAGTTTTCCAAGATGCATGCTCCCAGAAAACACCATTTCACATCAGTGTGCCAAGCCACCTTTCTCAGCTCCTTCTGAGCCGACAATCAAAACGCCAGTACATCAAATCCAACAGGTACTACAGGACAGGCATCAGCAAATGCTGTCTCTGGCTGCAGAAGTTATTAGTATGAATTCTGCTTTCAAATTTATAGCAAGCTTCCCAGCTTGACTTCTGAAACTTCCCTGCTAACAAGTTAAGCTGAGATGAAACAGCAAAGCTTTCTAAAGAATCCAGCAAAATGAACTTTTATAGCTCACGGTCCATATGCCAACAGATTCTTTGAGGTTCTCCTTGGGAAAACCAAACACAGTGTAACACATGGCACAGCAATGTATCAGGAGGGAGGAAGGCAGAATGGGGGACATTTGCTGAGCATTGAGTATCAGGATGCCACATTAAAACAAACAGTTTATATCCAGTGTATCTTCCATTCCCCGTGGATTAGCTGCTTCAAACATGAAGACACATAGTTTCAATTTTTGCAGCATTTTTGTGCCTAAGTATCCAGAGAGATGAAGAAACAGTTGCCTGAAAGATTTCCATCAAATCTGTAGAACAGATGTACCAGGCACCAAGTAAGATGACCAGTAACAACCTCTGGATGTTGACAAAGGCAATGTAGGCACCAGATAATCATTCCTTTTTCAACGGGAGCAGCAATCGCATCCAAAACACAGCTGTGAACAGACATTTGAGATGGGATGGACAAAGAGCTCCATGGATGCTGGGAAACAGCACAGCCAGCAGGATGCAACCTGAATCTGTTGGCTTTGCAGCTAAGCTCTAGCTCTTGGGTTTTTTTTTTCCCCCCTTCCATAACAGAAAGATAACATTTTCTCCATTCACAAGAGCTCCAAGAGATGTAAATCAACTGATGCTAGTCCCTGGATTGAAGCCAAACATTTCATTTTACCACACTCCAGATCAGCTCTTTTCTTGTACCAAGAACATTCTTGATGCCAGAAAGACTAGCCTACAGGAGCAGTTGATACATGGCTGCTGCAATGACCATTGCTGGATGTATAACAAGACAGTAAACAGTGCTGTTCCCAAGGACCAGAATTAACCCAGAGCATTCCATAGCAAGAGATGTTGCGACTGATACAAACTGAGCAAAGGCTGAGCAGAACTGCCACTTACTCTGAGCCCCAAAGTTTCAGCCCTCAAACAGCAAAGAAGCAGTGCTATAACAACAGGGATAGACCTCATGACCCAAGCTGAAATTTCTAGGATAAAGCTGCCTGTGACAACTTTTTGCTCCAGTAAAATAAGACACAAAACAAAGTTAGTTTCAAAACAATTTATACTCTTGCTATCACAGTAATAAGGTATCAATTAGCATATTACTCTTAGTTATCTGTGAATTTTCTCTTCAGTCATACTTAGATAAGCTTGAAAGAATGAAAACAGACACTAAAAAGACTATCTTCTGTTTGCAATTTAAAAAAATAAATCACAGTAAAAGCATACGCAGCTGAAGCACTGCTATTAAATGAGCAACTTTTACCTACAACAGTCACCAAAGAAATGCAGAGAGACAGCAGAACATCTGTAACCCATTGCAGAACAGCTGTCAAGTCAACAGGATGCATCTGTACTAGAAACAATGGATTCTCACCTAAAAGTTTTTGGTGACCTTTGTATGAGAGATGCAGTCTGTGAGACAAGCACATCTAAGGACTAAACCTACCCTCCATCTCTGGGTAAGGAGTGACACAGACAGGTAACTCACCATATGAAACTTTCCTCCTCAAGGTGCACACTCCATTTTCACAGATCAAGGTTTGAGAGATACTTCTCTCACACAAGCATCCACAAACAGGTTAAAAACGTAAACCAGCATATAAATATAAACCAGAAGCAAAATACAACAGGGTTCTGGTTAAACCCTGATTTGAACTTTATTTTATGGAGGCATTTCTAGAGAAGCCACAGGGTAGAAAGTGTGACTAATTCCTGTCAATGATATCTAAGGTCCAACTGCTTGGATTCACATAGCTCCACATCAGAAACAACACTAACCTCCTCCAAACTTGGGATTGATTAAAAAAAAAACAAAGACAGACGTGTTTTCAGGATTGACCAAACCTTTAAAACCACGAAGTATAAAGGTCTACAGTCATGAATCTAAGCAGGTCTTCCACTCCTTTGCAGTCAAAGAGGTTGAAATACACTCCGAAAACTCAAGATTACATTTTTTTTCCGTAACACTTTTCTAAACCCGAAACCCTAGAAAATCTCTTGCCATTCATTCCCTCCTGTCAGTCTCACTGAAATGAAGAGGAAGTCCCAGAGGATAAAATGAAGACAAGGTAAACCAAAGGTGTATCTGCAGATAAGCATAAATGTCCTTTACCACAGATGATTCTACATTGCTATTGAAATGGCAATAAAACACCTAATCACAGTCCAGAGATTAATTAACACCCCCAGGGCATGCCTTCCCACCCTACAATTTAGTGACAAAGACCTCAGAACTGTTACTCAAGCATAAATACAATCACAGAGATTCTGGCTCAAAACCAGTCACAGCAGGTTACTATGTCCTAATGATACTTTCATTCCTGAAGTATCAAAGCTGCAGATGAATATACTTTCACCCAGAGAAACACAGGTGGGGAAGGACTAGCACAAACAGCAAGTCTCTTACTATTTTTACTTTGCAGCTTTGTTTCCTCTTTTGGGGATGGGGGAACCACCTCTCAGTCAACCAAACTGTTTCTTTTCCAACAATCTCACATCATTTGAATCTACTACTTTCAGATTTGTTAAAAAAAACCCGAAACAAACCACCACCCCCACCCCCCCCCAAAAAAAAACAAACAACCCCACACACTTTAAAATGAGAGAATACCTAAACTTCCAGCAGCAACTAGAGCATCACCCTAGGAGCATGCTGCAGGCTGCAGGAGTTGGCACCTGATGACACAGAGTGGAGTGGGGGAATCTAATTTCCCAATAGGAAGCAAACCAGCACATCTGGTCCCACTGGAAGCCCGAGAGTGGACATGCATGCTCTTTGCTGATCCAGTCCCATCCCCTCCAAGTCCAGCAACAGGACCTCAATATCTGAACGGCAGCATTCAAAAATTACTCTCACTGCTCAAATCCAGACTGCTTTTTGCCAACTCCACACAATACACAACTGTCATTCTGAGAAAGAAGTCTAAAACCCTCAGCAGCGTGCTCAACACAGACTGGAGTGCAGGCATATTTCACTGAAGCTACTACCGCAACCATCAAGAAGCTGCAGAATAAACACCAACCATGGCCACTTTTCTACTTGGGTAGAAACCTTCCAGTGCTTTTCCATGACTGAACATACACACATTGCCTGTATATTTACAGACCATTCCACAGTTTCGTACAACAAGTCTTTACAGAGCTAATCCTACCACCAAGGAGGAAGAGTAGCTCAGCTTCCAGCCACTGGACAAAACTTGGTTATTAAATTTTTATTTACTCAGACTTAGTAAATCCAATCTTCACCATACCCACCACACACGGGTCCTTTATCTGATGTTAACATAATTCATCCTTTTTTTTTTTTTTTAAACCCATTGAGACATCAAGCAATTAGTCACAGATGGCATTTTGCTTTTAACTTCTGTTTACCAAAGAGAAGTATCATGCAGAACATGCAATATGCAGTAACATTCATAAACACATATTTGGTCACAATGAATGTAGAGAATTTAACGCACATTTCTACAACCAGCAAGTTTACTATACTAAAATACATTGCTTCCAAAATCCATACACTCTTCATAGTAATCCTCCAAAAGTAATCCTCCTCCTGGGATTCCATCCTTCCCAGCAGTAACAAAAACATCAACAGTACCACATTTGTGAGCAAGCTAGAAAGAAATACAAAAATTCATGCATGAATGAGGTTTGATGAACAAGGATTTCACTTCCAAGTTACTGGTTCACTTGAAGTAGTCTGTATGTTGACATATATACACACAGTTTTTGCAAGCTTTTAAAAATGCTTTAGCACACCTCTCTTTCTTAAACTGCCAAGAGTGTGTTACTGCTGTGAGCAGATTGAGCGTCCATCTTCTAATGAACAAAGGCTATAAAGGTTCAGGAATACATGTGTAACAAGAAGAACAGAGTGCTAAGTAGTACCAAACACCACCTAGACTAACATTTTCTTAAAATTCTGTTGTATATAAAAACAATGTTAAAATTGCAATTTACTTACCTAAGTAAGTTCCTACCAAGATTGGCAAAGGAAAAGGAAAAAAAGATTTAAGATTAAAAAAAAGGAAAGATTCACATAGTTCAGAATACAGTAGCCCAGCCCCATGCAACACATACAGAAACAGACTGTTTTGGTGGTAATGAAACACAGAAGTGATCACAGTTCTCTGTTGGACAGATAAACCCAAGACATTAAACACACTAACTCCAAATGAGAGATTCCACAAAGAGCAGCTTTAATTTTGAATGAGTTAGTGGTTTGTTACCCACCTCCTTCCACTAACCCCTGCACATTAACTGCATTGGATTTGGATCATACTTCCTAAAATGCCTGGTCTAACAGTTCACGTTAATTTGCTTCACAGTACCTCACAGATGATGTGTTTGTTCATGAAAAGCTGTACCTTCTGCTAATAGTACTTCAAGGACCCTATTAATACTTTCTGGGCAGTGACATCCAACTACAGTGACTCAGTAGCTACCCTTGGACAAGTATGTTGACAATGAAGAGCTGCTCTCTATCTTGGTGTTGAGCCAATCAATACTATCTTCCCACATTCCTAAAACAGCATTTCTCTATATTTTCTCTGACTGTAACACTTTTTATGTGGTTAAAGACAGAGGCAACAAAACCATGTACCTCACTACTTTAGGATCTGCTGGTCCAAGATATGTAAACTAGAAACCACTGAATTATTCACTCTTCTTAGAATTGGGAGTGTTATACATCATATACATATATATGTGTGTGTGTATGTATGATATGTATCACACATGTAGATTCCACTTAAGCACAAATTCATTTCCTCTTGTATTAATTACACCTGCTACCTACCATTGCCTTGGGACATGCACCCTCCTCTCACTCACTCAACATCTGCATCTTACTCCATGCCAACCCTCATAAATGAAAAGGTTTTCACTAGCTGATCCATTATCTCCTGATTTTGTTTCCAGATATTTCTCTGTAACAGCACCAAAAGAAACTAATCACAGTATCACGGCTAAGCTGAAGGCAAGCGACAAAAGTTTCACTTAACATCTGAATACAAAATCGTAAATACAGTTCCCAAAAATAACCTGCACTTCTGGCATATAATCTAAAGCAAGGAAGTTGCACAGGCACATGGTTCCTGAGGTCTCCAAAAAGCATTTCAAGCAAATTGTCATTCTTCCCAGCTGTGCTGCTGCTGGCAAGAAACAGTCATTCCTTTAGGAAGCACTGAACATTTTCTCTCTTGACACTAGTCAACATTACTCTGGTCTGGATATCAATAGCTAAATCCAGGACTTTTCCCCAGTACCCCATGTATCATGTTACTATTCACTAGAGGACCAATAGTCCCTGCTTTTTACAGTCATTCCTGGATGGGAAGATTTCCTTAGGCTGGTTATCCTCAGCTTCAGAAGGGCAGCCAGAGCCACTGCTGATAAAGGCAAATTTTTAATGCAACTTATGCATACAGGTAAATCCAAATTTTCTGCAAGGTCTAAGTCAGACAGAAAAAACCTTTGAGGTAAGTCAGGTCACCTACACAGGTGATGCTAGAGAACTTCCTTATATTACCACCTCGATAGCTGTTTTTGATCAAGAACAGTATTTCCACTTTCATGCTCATCTCTTGGATATTAAACTAATGCCACATTAGGCTGACAAATGCTTCCAGTTCTAGGAGTTCATTCACATTTCTCTAAATGGAGGTGAGAAACAGTGAACCCGAACATGCTAAACTAGACTGACATTCCATTTTGGTTTAGAAATCCCCAGTAGCAGAAGCAAGGTATTCCAACAGTTAACCAACCTCACTCAAAAATTTGCAGCTTGTTTCCAGCCAAAGTTTTTCTGCTGTACCTTCTGGCTACTGCAGCTCATTATTCCATTCCCAGCTAAACTAAAAAGCCCTCTATTATTACACTTCTGCTGCTCCTGTCAGCAGAGACAAACATCTACAACTTCCACTTTGATAAAAGCATTTTCCATTATACAGTGTGTTTTCCAGACCCTTCACCGTTTTCATGGCTCTTCTATAAACCCTCTCCAATTTTCAGTATTCGATCCACTACCATTTTATCAATGCAAGTTTGTTGCTGGGAAAAGCCTTCCCTTTATTTCAGCTACTCATTCATGTTCTCTCTTTCTGCCAATTTTAGAGTGCATGTGATGACCCTGAAAAACAGATTTGATTAGATGAAAGCTAACATGGTGTAAAAGGGAGGGGAAAAAAAAAAATCTAACAATGGTCCCTCCCTTCCCCCAGTAGGAATTTGCATAGACAAGTATCACACAGACCTGGGTATTATGGGATAGCTGTAAGGAAAAAAGTAAACAGGGTGCAGAGCATAAAACATCTTCTCTCTCTCTCCCCCCCTCTCCAGGAAGTTTCATGGCAAATATCTTAAGTCAAATTCCAGAACATTAATGAAAAACAATAACCTAATAATTTTTAACAGCTCACTGTATTTGACAGCTTATGAGACTCCATGTATTTTTCATGCTCCAAAAATAGGATTCTGCACAATTTGTCCATGCTAATCTAACGTTGAAGGAGAGCTGGGAAGGGCACTGTATGCCTAACAATGCCTCCAATGTGATTTAAAGAGGAGGAAAACAAAATAGATAAAAGAACAACACCCTTGTTTTAAACTAGAGTGGAGGTAGTTAGGAGAGATGAGATTAAGAATATCTTCCTGTTCTTGGAATTCAAGCACCAGTTGAAACTCTAGATGCCTGGCTAGACAAATCATATTCAAAGCCTGAAAAAGTTCAGCTCTCTAAGGTTAAATAGTGATGAGTCAGAAAAAGAAAAGTTATTTCGCTGGAGTTACAGTAGCAAAAGAAAAATCAAACAAATTCTGAATGAAAAATCTGTAGTATTTTTAGTAGTAGTCTTTTTAAGTTCAGCAGTTTACAACATTTTCATAATTAGTTTTATCTAGTTCTGGCTGCAGCCCACTAACAACAGTCTCCTTTCCTTGTCCTCCTTGATTTCTCGCTGCCAAGGTTCCCCTTTTCCCAGCATTTCCTTCCCATTACTACCTCTCTTCACAGTTCCACCTGACAACTTCCCATACACCAGGTGATTTTCCACCCTCAGTCATCTTTTGTGCACATTCAGGAACAGTGTTTCCATTTACCCAGGAACGTTCATCAAGTCACTTCACAGATTAACTTTTCTGAGGGCCGAATTCTAACCACTGACCATTCATCATCCTAAATACCACAGGGTGGTAGAGACTCAGATGAAAATCTTCCAGCAGTGCTGCCTGAAGGAATACCCAAAAACCTACCACGAACAGATCAATTCTCAGCAATGTTAAACAGCCTAATTCTAAATGAAAGCAGCAGGAGCCACAGGAATTGAAGTACCTTAGAAACCTGACCACCAATATACATGTATAAACATGGATCTTGCTTTACACTATGCACAAATGCAAGCTGTTACTTGGCTCATTCCCTGCAAAGCAATCCCTTGATTTTATATTGCTTTACAATGTGGCTGTGAGGAAAGCCTTACAGACTCAACACACGCGATCAGCTCAGCAACCAGTCATAATTTACAGTATACATACTTCTTCCATGAGTTTGGAGGTAATAGTCCAACACCAAAAGGCTTTTATCACCAGCAAGAGACTTCAGCTAAAGTCCACCATAAGAGCTGTCTGTTGTCATATGTCAAGAGACTTTGACACAGCAACCTGTCCAAACCATAAGGTATCTTCCATGTGCCACCAACACGGCACATCAGCAGGAGGCAGAACCCCCCCGTCATACAACATTGTGGTAGGTTAACATCTCCTTGAAAACTATTTCAACACAGGTGGACAAAGTGTCTAGAATTTGTCTAGAAAGAGTATTTTCAACCTCTGTGCAGTCTTAATACCAGTTTTTCTGTGCAGTACACTCCTATAATGACCTAAACCAGCCAGTATGCCACAACGCATCACTAAGGGGAAAGGAGAAACAAAACCAACAGAGAACCCCCCATAATTTCCCCTAGTACCTATAGGAGCTATGCAAATGAAGAATATGACTGGTTGTAACAATTCAGTTTTACTCTCAATAATCTTTTTCTTCCATTTTATGTCAGTTATAATCCAAGAACCAGTCATTCCGGATAGATGTGTTGATTTCAGTCCTTTTATACTAACTCACTGGCTCCTATATTCTGGTCACAAGGCTTCACCACTCTCACTATCATTCACCCCTTCTTCACAACAGTTCCAACTTGCATTCTTCCTCTCCTCTCACCTCCTCCTCTTCCTTCCCACCATCAGCCCCCCAAACTAGTAAGCCCGCATGACTGCATCAAGAGGCAAGAAGAAGTCTCAGCACTATGTTCCCATTTCTGGCATGGCACAGGAAACAGTCATTAGCCATGCCCAGGGCAAGCAAGCTTACAACTCACATGTAAGGCAACTGGGAACTACTTTTAAGTGTCACTGGCACACAAACTGGCTCCAGGACAAAAATAGATCCACTGAACTTCCACCATCTGTTTCCCCGTTCCAAGTTCTTAACCTTGTTTCCTTGCAGGTGGTTTCCTTTCCGCTCTGTCTTGTCAAAGCTTCCAGCAACCCAGAGTCAGAAAATATTCCAGATGTTCAAACTGCAAACATCTTTCATTCACAAATAAATCTCAACCGACAGTTTAAGCTGAACCACTCACCAAAATATCCAATTAACACTCACTACCCCAGCAGGTAAACAAATTCTGGGACTGAATCATACTCTGCTACCTAGCAGTTATAGGAACAAATACTACTCCAAGTATTTCAGTGGCTGGCTGAGAACAGAGCGAGCAGGCAAAGCAGCAGGCGCTTTGGTGAGAGCCAGCCCCTACACTATTATACATATATCATTCAGAGAAACACATATTCTGAGGAGCCTGAACAGGTACTTCACCAAAATATTTTTGCAAACTGCTCCAGCAACAGTTATGACTGAAATGTATCCAATCAAATATGTTTACCATCAGACACACATTTTAAAACACTAAAGAATCCTCCATTTCCTGTAAGTCAATGGTCTCAGGTTAACAAGTCTAGTGCTCTACACAAAGATGACCTTCCTGGTGGGAGGAACAGTTCTTCTTTTAGTTCCTTCCTTTGGGCCACAACATCTCAGAGCTTCAGAAATGTGTCATTTGCTGAGTGACTCAGCAGTCCCCTTGCTGAGGAGGACATTTAGCAGGGAGCAGCTGGCATGCCCATAAGCAGGTAGTCACTAGGAACTGTGGAAATTCAGTGAGCTACTCCGCATCTACATCCCTCCTTAGTGGACAAGGCTTCCGAGGGAGCCAAACTGACCAAGGCAGCAGGGTTTTGTTAATTCTTCCCAAAACACAAAAGTTAAAAAGCACATTAAAAACTCAGCAACACAATATCAAGGTATAAATTCCCAAAGAGAGCAAGACAGTACAATGATCACTGTGCTCATTCTTATTCTATTTTTCACATGCACTTATACATGCATGCATGTAAATATTGATAACAGTTGTTCACTGTCTCAGCCGTTAAACACAAAGCTTAACATCAGGGCATGCAGTGTCAGCCATTTCATGGTAACACATAAACTTAAGTTTTCATGTTTGCCTGCCTGATGATGACATCTGTATATCCTAACTATTCAAAATTTGTCTGTTCTGTTGAACTTGGTTAAGTGACATCATATGTATGTTTCCTGCATTACAAAGTAAAGCTTCTGAGGTCTATTCAGTAGTCAGACAGTCAGAATAGATTAATTTTTAAGCTCTGGAAATTTCTGAAACCATTTCTACTGCAAGTAAAGAACGTGCAGACAGTCTCTCACCAGTGAGACTGTCCACTCACAGTGGAAAATACAGAGGCTTGAACTTGGGACTCAGTGAGAATACTGTCTTCTGTTTCTTTTGGTTGAAGTGTATTTAAAGTAGCTCAGGACACATGAAACTTTTGATTTCTTAGAAGTCAAACAGTGAAACAACACCTAGTTTCAAACCAACCATCACAGCTCTCAGCAGTTTCACAAAACTGCTAGAAAATCATTCTGTCAACTTGAGGAATTAGTAATCAATTGTGGACATAGCACTTCAGATCTTCAGTACAGTTGTACAACTTGGCATCTGCATGTGAAAAGCCTGCAAGGTGAGCAGCATAACCATGGGTGGAAATGGTTACCCAAGGAACACTTAGACATTACACAGAAGGTGCACACAGACTCATTAGCCACAAAGCACAGACAAGCCAGCAGATGAAACTAAAATTCACTCTCCTAGCATAAGCTGAGCGCAGCTTCAAGGTCTTACCCCTGCTAGGCATCAACAGGCGCTTCTTCATGTTGCCTGACAGATCACAAGTGAACAGAAAAGAGAAAAACATCACATCAGCAACCTGAACAGCAGCAGTTTAAAAAGTTCTTAGTTAAAACAGAAATAATAAGATATTAAATGTTTGCAATTATATTTCAGATAAGCCACATATAAAGTTAAAATTAAAGGTAAAAAATGAGAAGGATTCTCTGTATCTCCCTCCCTGCTCAGAGTCACCATTAAACAAGCTGTTCCTTTCCCCTGTTAAGGAGAGCTACCCTCCATGTTCTCACTCCCGTTAAGACCATTTGAACAGACCCTTTTATCTTCATTTGAGAAAGACTGCACTTTCTCTTCCTCACTACTTTCAGGCAAGAGCAACTCTTCAGAACAGAGCCCTGGAGTACATGCCAGGAACATCCTGCATCTATCTCCCACTTCAAACACCTTCCCTTTGCCTTTTATTCTTGAGGAAGTAAAGTCCAAGCTCCACTGCACAGAGGTGCTCAGTGACAGGGCAAACAAAAGCAAATGCTCTGGTTCTGCACAAGGCAGAGGCAGGTTTATGCCACGGCAGATCTAGCTCATCTGCCTCCCTCAGCTAAGCAGCAGCCTGCCTGTCTCAATGGCATGCAGCCTCTAGTAGCTTTGCTGAAAGCCAGGTGATCAACATGTTACAAAGCCACCTGGGAACTGCACAGCTACTACCTACAGGTTAAAAAGCTATAAACCTCAAAAGAAAAAGGAAACATAACTGGAAAAAGCTAATAAGATTTTCGCAGTACACATGATGTGTCTCACCCAGAAGTAGAAATGGGACAAGTAACTTTTACAAAAGGGAAAAATTAGCCTCCCTCAAGAATAAGAAACTTGAAATTTATATAAAGGACTATAGTTTCAAATAATCTCCTTGTATCAATAAAAGGACAGAAGAAAAAGCCTATAGAGACAATATACATTTTGCAGAAAAATACTTACCATCCATTCCATTGTGTTGTTCATAACTTCTTTTTCCCAGGATAGTTGGGGACCCATTATTAATGACAGGTGTAAACTTAGCAGGAGTCAGACTGTTGAGAGAACTGGACAAGCTCTTTGCAGGATCTGGTTTCGGAGGACATGGATGAGACTCTGTTGTAAAACAGCAAGGTGAGTTTTTTATTAGTGAAAATACTGGAATTATAAATCTGAAAACAAGCTGCAAACTTCTAAGGTGACTATATCTCCCCTTACATACATATCGTCTCAGTCAATGATTTTGACTGAAGATTGCTATTTATATAAAACATTTTAAGTATATTTACAAATACACCTCTACTGAAGGTGTAAAACCAATGTCGCAATATTATCCTAAAAAAAGCTGATAACAAAAGCACATTGTATTTATTTCCAACACACTGTTCTCCAACAATTTAGAATCATTTTGGGGGTGCTCTATATTAAAAGCCATCTTTGAGCAGTCATGCAACACCGCTAAACTCTTCAGTTACAGTTTTTCTAGTTTTGCAAGGTTTGTAAAAAATACAAATTCTAAATTGGCCAAATGAGTGAGGATTCAAAGCACCACCATAAAGAATACATTAAGTCTGAATTCAAACTTTTGGCCAAGGCTGAGATCAAGCATACGGTGAAAAGATTGTGAGAAAGTTACAAGCAACAGCAAATGAGATTTTCTCTCACCAACCAAAGAGCTGAGTAACATAAAACTTAAAGCACACTGAGCACACCTCCAAAAAGACTTTCTTCTCTCAGTCAGTCTATCAGCCTCCCTCCATTTCCTTCACTCTCTTCTCCCAGCTCAGTAGTCAAATGGAGACCCTGACACAGCGATAATCTCAGAATCTACCGCTACATTCTGTACAACTATTAAAGGCAGGATTTTATCCAACAGCAAAACTTCTCCCTTTATTGGCTTTCTCTGGTTGCACTATATGTATCCAAAGGTTTCTCAGTCTGTGTATCTCATTAGTATACAGTAGAAGTACAACTCTCAACAGAAAAGCAGTAAATATTTAATAAACCCTGAGCCTTACAATATTTCATCAACAAAAATGTTCAAAGAAAAATAAAATCAACTCCAGTGTTCCTTATCAGAGTAAAAAGGCAATCAATTTCCTTGTTAATCTAGAAGCCTTCCAAGTACCACTGTCCAAACTAGCTTTCTGTGGTTAGACTCATGTTAGATGGCTGTAATAACCTGAGACATGTCTTCAGGGTATCTCCAGCAACTGGCAACACTAGACAAACTGGTTTTTCATCCATTTGTAGTCAGAGCTGGCATGTCATGTAGCATCACTTTAGATGCTTCCAGCACCTAAAACTTATACCAAAGTCTAGAAAAGAGCTACTATGAAAGGAAAGAATGAAAGTATAGTCTCCTTGTCCAGCTCCAGGATAGAATGGCCAGCAGCTGATGCACAAGCTGTGGGACACAGTGCTGTCCTAAACCAAAGAGGCTTCTTGGAGGATCCAACTGTAGGAACTCCTCCAGACAGCCCAAAAATTGCAACAGTGGACTGACCAATTGTTCCCAAAACATTATGCTCATGCCCCCATCAGCAGATGGTAACTTGTCTCCGTATACATGGGAAGCCACAGGAAACACATCCCTCTCCGTTCTCTTGAAAGTTTATGACAGAGCTCTGTGAGCCCACAGTGGACTGCTGAGTCACTTGGTCTGTCAAATTAAGTAAGAAAAGGAAAACAGACAAGTGCATGGGAAGGTTTTCTTTTTAATCCAGAACCAGCATCTAAATTCAGAACCAAATGGAAAAAGAAATGGTTAGCAGAAATAGCCAGCATGGCTTTTTGTTTGCTTGAGGTTTTTTGTGTTTGTTGGTGTTTGTTTTCTTTAATACCTAAATACCGGAGTACTGCTTCTAAAGGCTTTCGAACCACTTGCTTTAATAGCAGTGGGTTTTCTGATGCCTCAGGTAAACGTGCTGTGCCTGTAAAACAAAGAAAAATAATTAGAGGGTAAAGATATTTAGATATTATAGCAAACCTAAGTGAAAAACTCGAAACTTTACAGGTTGCAAGCATGTCTTGGCAATAGGACATGAATGTAGGAGAACTCTAAATATAACAGCAAACATTAATATTTTAAAACAAACAACTTATGAATTTTCAAAGTTATCTGACCTACAGTTAGAACACTGCACGTATAGCTAGATTTTGTGCAACCACTAGCTACATGCAAGAGAGCATCTCAAGAAGTTGCAGCTCAAACTGTAGGAAAGGAATCTCAATGGGTTTCTTTGCAAGGAGGTCCCAGCTGCATCACCACTCACATTCTGCTTTGATTGCTGCACTGTTAATAGGCAGATAGGGGTGTCTTGCAGCATGCCAAGGGCGCAAGATATCTCGACATAAACGTCTGGCAATTCTTGTCAGTTTTGTTGTATGGAGATAGAAAGCTTGTCGTGTCTTCATAGCAAACTTGGGACTCCCACTATTTCGTACTGGCACACCATGAGGACTCTAAAAAGAAAGAAAAATCAATTACAGTTTCTAAAATATATCAGAAAGTACAGAGTTAAAGAAGAGATAGACTATAAAATCACTTTCAACTACTGGTTCACAGACATAAGAACAAAAACAGTATTACAAATTAGAATATTTCAGCCCAGCTATTCCCCATTTCCCAAATCTTACCCATGAACATTTAGAATTTTATTCCAAAATATCTCAATGGATAAAACAAAGGTAAATATTTTCTCTTCACATGGAAGTATGTAATTTCTGTGTTGCCCAAATTTTAAAGCAGAGATCCAAAAGCCAGAACTGGAGAAGTTACCTGATCCTATCACGTAATTTAGTACTTACATAGAGTCAACAGGCTTTGGGTGCTTAGATATACAACACAAACTTCTTACAACAAATCATTTGTAAAGGGCAAGAAAAATCAAACGTAGCTGTATGGCTAAAATATACATCACAAACTCACTTCCCAAAGCAATCTTACAGCATACAAAAATGCTTTTGTCTCAAAGTTGCAAGAATATCTGTTTTAGGTCTTACTCTAAACTCAATGAATGCATTTACACAGTTGTCAAATATTCACTGTATGTAATAAAGAATACTATTGAAAGACATTTATTGACTAGAGAGCACCAAAGCACTATCTTCTTTGTGAAAAGCAACCAAGTCAACCAATAAAATAATGAAAGTAGTATCTGATCATCTCAGACCTGCCCACAATTGGAAAACAGGAGGACATTTCAGTTTGGGGAGAACAAGGCTTTCCCCTCTCTGAATATTTGCATACTTTTAAATTAACAAACAAAAGGTATAAGGCTGATGAAACATGGCAGTTATCTCAGCAATTAGATGGCTTCAGAGGGAAAAGAGAAGCCTGGAAAGACAGAGGTTAAATGAAAGAAATAAAATAGGAAGGGAATGATAGCAAACACTAGGAGAAAGACCTTAATCTCAGACCAAAGTTCAGGGTGCACTACCCTTCCATCCATGTGATGCAGCCACTTCTTCCAGTCAGCTCAAGGTATGATGCTTCCAGATTGAGCTTCCACCAAATTCAGAAAAATTCTGAGTATTTTGGCTTTTAAATTAGAGGAAAAAATAAACAGAAGCAGCTGATACAGTGCTTACTCAAACCTATCCAAAAGGAAGGAGGATTAATTAAAAAAGTAGGATGAAGTACAAAACCAAGATAAGGGATCTCTCTAAAATGCCACTAGCTATTTGGGGGATCTAATTTTGAATGTGCCTTGGGAAACGGAACAGGTTTCAGGAAATAATGAATTCTTTTATGATTAAAAAAAAAAACCACACCAAAAAACAGTCCTCTTCCCCCTACAGCAAAAATCATGAAAAGCGAATACCAGAAACACTGGCTGGCATTTAATTTTTCTCCATCTTCATTAAGTTATCCCATGCATTTGATGGCTAGTTTGCTAAACAAATGATTATTTTTTTCTCAGCGCAGTAGTTGGCAACAAATTACTCAGAGCCAAAGTTAACGTGCCAACTTCAGCAATACATGAAATACCAAACCCAAGGACAACAATGAAGGCTGAAGGCATTCTTCTTCTTGTTAAATATTTAAGAACAGTGAACAACTAGATATCATGGCACCTAGCTTTCCAGGCAAGAGCACCAAGAAGTCTGCTTTGCAGATACCCACCAAATTATTGCGGTTTGGTCCTGGTCTCTCCCCATCTAACCGTGTTGGCATTTTCAAGCCACCGTATTTCTTCCAGTAGGTCCAACAGGATGCACAGAGACGACACTGCATGTTAGGGGGACCCCAAGAATACCACTGGTAAGACTGTGTGGCTAGAGATAACAAAGGTGGAAATTATATATATCCTTAAACAGGATCACTTTTCAGAGCTTATTCTCTTTAGAACCATCACAAAAGAAAACCCACACAAAGACAGTGCAAAGCTCCAACAGACCTTAAAAGCTGATGATTGCTTCAATGTCATCACATCACTGTTAAATGTACTTGTTATTTCAGCAAAATTAATTACAAATATAACCCCCTTTTAATACATGAACAGAAAAAAATAACTAGTAGGATGGGACAATTTTACGTCAATAAAACTGAAAGCTCTCATTTTTGAAGACTGGTAGACAATTTCTGCAGAGCATGGGAAAGAGGGAAGATTGTCCTCAGGAACTCCCCTTACATTAATTTTACAGCTGAAGAATGTACAAAATTTGTGGCTTAACTTCTTTGTTCAGTCCTACATTCCAGCATCTCTAAAGGCTCCCACAAAGGAGCACAATCATTAGAATGCAGTATATTAGTACCAGCCAACAGACCAAATACAATGATATCACATATTTTGAAATCTACTAAAAAATTATGAAAAAATTGACAAATTCACATCTTGGTGATTTAAGTCTTTGCTCAATAACTACCTGCAATTACATAGGACATTTACTAACTCCCCCTTTAGTATTTCATAATTGTATTTACAAATGTAACACCAGTAACTAAAAACCCACCTCTGCTTAAATGCTGCTATGTCAAATTCTGTCCCTCCACCCTTCCAAAGCTTTCTCTCCCACCTCCCACCACAATAGAGCTTTTACTTTACTGCTTGCAACATAGCACTCACACTCTCTCTGCACAACTGCCATACTGGCACGTCACTTACTATAACAGCTTTCACAGGCCCGTCCTGCTCCCGTGTTCTGTGCCTGTACTCCAGTACCATTTACCACTCCTGGTTTGACATTATTTACATTGATCTGGTTGGGGTTTGGCTTGTTACTTAAAACACAAAGCAAAAAGGAGGACAAACATTAATTGAGGCATGCAATTTCCTACTTGACTTTCAAAAGTATGGCCCAAAATGTTTGAAGATTTAAATTTTGTTCATCTTCTGGCTTCAAGAACAAGCTGTACTTACCAGCAATCTGACTTCCATGAACATACAGTCTCCAATAATCTTTAAGTAACACCAATAATAAAAATAACCACTGTTAGATGCCATTTCCCAGAGTGCAAACCCATTGAAAAACAAACCAGTGAGGCCAGGTATCTTCCTCACTGTCCCAGATATTCTATCTAGGTGACAAAAAGATCTCTCCTACAGATCTCCCTAAGTCCTCAACATAAAGGATATGTTACTTAAACCTCCAACAAGAAGGCTAGGGTACACAGCAGAAGAGAAAGGGTAACCCCTGTCTTATTCTGGAAAATATAACCCTAGACTGCAGTCACAAATATTTCCACATTGTGTTACTGCAAAGGTTTGCACAAGCACACCCAAGACATTAAACAAAATCTTTGGACACAGCATATATACAAAGATTTTCATTGATATGAGCCTTCTGACAAGTCTTAAACTATGGTCTGTGTTTCTAATAGAAAGCATTCAGGTTTCTACTAAATGGAAAAAGTCTGAAAGCCTAGCATCTTTATGTAGAGCAAGAAATGCATTGATGGCTGTCACTAACACATTCTAATATAACAACATCTGAGTCACCTCAGCTCATCTCTATACTCTTGGAAATGTTGACTTGGGGAACAGGGGGGGAAGCTACTGGCAGGAACTCAGAATGGAAGGGCAAACAAAACCTTGGCATAGAAAGCAGTCTGAAATAGTACAAAATCTCTGCAGAGGAAGAGGTGTCCAAGGGGGAAAATGAGGCACTCATCAAAAAATCCTTGGCATGGGAGGGAACAGGAAGGACAGAGAATCAGTATTGCAGGGACAGGACTTATGGGGCATGGAGGAAGATGGAAGAAGTCAAACAAGAAGTTTCAGAGAAGAAGAATACACTGGGAGCTTATAAAACATGCAAAGACTCCGAGGTGCTGTTAGGAGCTCAGCTTACAGAAGCAACAAAAAGCAGGCAGACTTGCACCAACTGCACCAATTATGTTTCACTCATGTTCTCTTACCTGAAGACTGAAGAGTTGGCATATTCCTTTTATTTCCAACTAAGCAGCTCATCATTTGGAATCCACTTATTCAAGCAGAAATATCTTAAAATAGGCTTTACAAAACAGCTTTCTGAAAAAGCATTTTCTTACATATCAGTTGCACACTGACACAGGAGTCACACTGATTTCAGGGACCCAGACTTTTTAATCACTTATCACTCTGGCTAGGTCTGCAAAAACAGCATTGTGGGAATATGGCCAAATTAATTTCTTCCTAATGGGGCATCAATATTAGGTTTCACATTCTCAGCAATGACCTTAGAAAGCAAAGGACTTCCAAATGACTGAACTCTGAAGAAAACAAACCCAAATGCCACTGAAAAGCTTACACTGCCCTGGAAACCAGAAGGTCATCCTTCTTCTCATTTGAAAATGTCTGATCAGGCACTAGATACAGAGTTTGGTAAAGTCCCATTTCTATAGAGACAAAATAGGTTTTGCTGTGAATGACCTACACAAGGACCACACACACATTGCATAAAGACATAAGAGAGTATTTGCCCAGTCCAAGAAAAACTTCAGATAGCATTCTGATGGTGCTTCCTCACTGTAAATTCAAGGCCTTCCTGCAGAAAGGCTAGGAAGCTAAGCAGCACTGAAATACTGCAAATAGTTTGTTCCTTCAACACACTTAACAGCCCATACACAACCTAAAAGAAGCACAGAAGAAAAAAAAAATAAACGCACTATAGATTAACAAGCCTGATTTGGTTTTCTTCTCCTTTTGCTTATTAATCTGCCCGGCTCTTACAAGGATTAAAGTGTGTCCACAGGACGAAGTTCTGACACCACAGATGGCAGCAGATCTGCAGACACATTTAACAAAGGGAAAGTTGAAAGGAGGTACATTCATGCTACCCGGCATTTTGCTCTGGGATGTCACTATAGTAACCTGCTGAAAAAGAACTTTTGCCAATGATTCACTAGCAAAGTCCATGTGCAAACATTACTAAGATGCTATAAAACAAACAGTCCTCACAGACACACAGTTACAAGCATGTTGCTCAACAGACAGAGGAAAAGACTGAACAAAACTAAGCCTCCCCTCCAGGTCTTACAGCTCAGCATCACACAGTTGCTTCCCTTATATACATTGGTTTATTCTCTGAAAAAGGCTGTAAAGGAGTCAAACTCCATCAGCAAAGCACACAAAAAGGAGGGGGTTTTTTGAGCAGCATGCCAGAAAGCCCTGATGTGTCTGGTTGTAAACAGTTAGGAACAAGACTGCACGCAGTGGCACACACATCCAAAGTATTAAGATCACGCGCAGAAAGGAGGGTGATGGCCAGACTCCACTGCCCTCTTACCAAACCTGTATTTCAGACACAACTGAAAGGGATGCACGGGCAAGAGCTGATCACCAAATCACACTAATCACAACACTGTCACACTGTAGTTGTGGCAATAACTTCACTTCAGGATTCTGGAACAGTACAATTTATGTACCTGCAACAAGCACCAGAAAGTGTGCTGCTCCAGAGCTAAGGTCAAGTTTCAAAAGGGCAGTAACAATAAAATTTAAGCAGCTAACATTTTCATCATATGAGCAGCAAAAAGCTCCAAACTGCTGATGATATGTTAATTAAAATTGTTTGATATCACCAAAGCCTGCTACAGCTATTAACAAGAGAATTAGATGAATAACTGGATGAATTATTAAGCAATTAATGAAGCTGAAGTGAAAGATGCAAATAAGGTAGTGAGAATACTGATGGTGTGGTAAGCCATCATTTCCAGTTCTTACATCAATAGAAGTCTTTTCAATGGGTTTCAATTGCACCGGAGCAGTCAGTTATACTAGAACAGCGATCATGAATGCAAGTGCAGCTCTCTGAGCTGTATTATGTAGGAGAACAAACTCAAATGAAAAGTTTAAGTTGATAAAGCATGTGCAGAAAGAAGGCACTGGAACTCAGTCATCATGGACTGAAACCCCTGGGAAAAAAAACCAACCAAGATAAACCTGAGCCATGCAGAACACCGAAATCACTATATGACTGGACAGCATTTGACCCACAGCACAACGATAAAATTTTAGTTGTTAAAGATACCTGTATACTTAACATCATTGGTGACTATATCCTGTTATTGAAAAAATCATAGTGGTACTAGATGCAGCAGAACAATTAAGAAATAAAGCCTCAGAAATAAGAACAATTTTTAATACTTCATAAGGAACATTTATCACATCTACCTCTAGGCATCTAATGCAAGTGTCTAGATTCCTTATAAAGAAAACAGAGAGGTGAGTTCTCATCAGAACTCCCCAGGCTACTGTAAATACCCACTTCTAAGAACAGGTCTAATGACTGCTACACAATGCTTTTTGAAAATGAGAAGCCTTCTCCAACAAAATGTTGAAGATCACCATTTTAACCAGCACAGCTATAAAAGAACCAACAGTGTTACACCTCTGAGTTTTCCATGATGCAATGAACCTCTTCCCAATTAAACAGGGAAGGGAGAAAGTCTTGCTCCTCAGGCAGAGAACAACCAAGAAACAGACAAAGGAATTATCTTCAGCTGGTTAAGCAGCTGCCCCTTGTAGTCATCCAAAGCTTTGACCTACTCCTCTAGTTACCCTATTCACTTAAAAAAAAGAGACAGGGTAGAGAGAATAATATTTTCCTACTTTAAAAGTGTTTGCAAGGTAGCATTTACAGCTTTAAAGGTGCTTTGAGATTCTCAGATAAAATACTGTAAGTAGACTATATTAATTTACATTTACATATGTAAATTTAAAATTTACATTTTACATCAATACATTTTGGGAGACTGGGGATTGCATGGAGCACTTCATTCTTCCTTTTCTGTTCTTACCACTTAGATCTAAGCAAAAGAGAGAAAAGCCACACAAAATTTTATGTCTCAGCCTTTGTGATTTGCAGATATCCTAATTCCAAACAATCCCAGCTACACAACCAAACCATCATCAAAAAGAAGTAACTAGTACATATGATGCCCATAAGATAAGTTAAACCAGAACGCAACTTCCACAACAGCCTGAAGAGTATGTTTGGGCACGCACTAGAAAAAGAAAGAGACTGAGATTACATCTGCAACAAGAAAGGTCTCTGAGCCCTACATTCCCACTGGGGGATGGCAGAATGAAGTGTATAAGGACATGGCATCTCTTTGTACATTCAGGCTTCTGCTGCTGCCTCCCACTGACAGAGCAATTGCTACAGAAAACAATTAAATTTTTTTTTTCAGTATTTCCTGAATGCAGAATTCAACTGATTTTATATTTTTTTTCTTTCACCAGGAAAGCACATTAGTGCTTTTCAACCTAAGGGATGCATACAAACATTGGGTTCAGTCACATGAACTACAGACGTCCACTCCAAACCCAGGGTTGTTCTTGGAAGGATCCCAGAAATGTTTGCCCAATATCTAGGACAGCAATGTTTTTCCAGTATCTGGGATGTTGGTTTAGGACTTGATAACCTCAAATCAGTTACCTGTATGACTCTGCATGCTTCAGTTACCCACATTATAAATTTAGGGCACAGTCCAAGTTTGATTGGTTTGGGTTTTTTTTAAAAATAGACTCTCAAGCTTCACACAGAGATGTTATTTTCCACTGTATACTATGTATGTGACATGAGGAATAACCTTTAAAGACCGCTTCTATTGCTTTTCTTATTATTGTCCTCTCCTCTTCCTAGATTTTCCTATTAACATCACAGGAAGAAACGAGAGTCCTATCAGTGGAAGACAGTCATAGACAAAAAAAAAGAAGATTAAATTGTTTGAGACTGATAATCCTCCAGGGTCTCTCTTTGCAAACAATTTTACATCAGTTATTGTTAGAATAGGTTTCACTCAATCAGCTGATACACTTCTGCATAGGTCTTGTGACAGTCTACATCAAGTAATTTATTTTTGAGGTGACAAGTGGATCATTATGGTTCAAGCCTTGAAACAGGAATGGGCTCAGTAACATAAGGACAAATCAATAACATTGATATTTAGATCCCTACACTGTGTATTGCCATTACAAGCCAAGAACATAATCTTCTTCTAGGTCACAAGATAATGTAGATGCAATACATTCCCTGTGTGCCAGACCTTGTACTGAAACTTGAGTAGAAATAATCCAAAAATCTTAGAATCTTAATTGTTACCACATTTGGTGGTATTAATAGCAAAAAAGTAGAAGCAGCATTCATGTGGGATTAAGTAAGTCACATACACAAATGCTACTTTTCCTGATACGCATGAAAGCGTATTGAAGGAGGAGGAAAATTTGACACCCGTTTTATCATTTAAACAATATTTAAATTAAGGTATTACACAAAATTCAACCGTGATCGGAAATCAAAGCCAGAGATAAAAAAAGCAACAACATGGGTAGAGACAGAAGTCTTTTCCTGAAGTAGAGAGGTACGTTGCGGATTTGATTATATTCTCTAGATAGCAACAAGAATTATCTTGCTGAGATACAATGTTGAGGGATAAGATACCGCTCCAGACAGCCATTATCAAATGAGAACCATAACCTTTCAAATACAAAACACAGCCTACATACATTATAATCCAAGAGCAACAGCAAGACTACCAGGCTCTCTCGTCTCCAATATCCTTTTGCATCCACAGTGTAAATTACATTGACTTTTGCTTTACAAGCTTATCACATTGTGAATTCCTGTTTAATTTTATGTCCAGTGTCCCCCTGCAGAGTAAAACCATCCACAAAAGGCAGTACTGTTGAAAAATTGCACAACAAGAAATCTATTTGGTTTCACTCTAAATATTACACCTAAATTTTAGTAAATTCACTTGAGAGTTATCTACAGATTTCAAAGCAAAAAAGAAATCAGGGATCCTCTATTTTCACAAGAAATAAGGGACTGTCTTGCAAGCTAAATATGTAAAACTTAGTTTTGCCTTAAGTAACAGAACACATTGTAGAAGTTCCTAAGTATTTAAAAGGAGAATGCATAAAAGAGTAAAAGAGTTATTTGGGAATAATACACATGGGAAGTGGAAGTTGAAGAGAAAGGACAAGGGAGATTCAAAGTTCCACATTATAACAACTGTTGACTGGGTTATGCAGAAGAAATCCAAGAGAAGAAATACATCTTACTAAGTATTTTTTAATACACATATATCATTATATACTAATTTTAATATAGTTCTATATATAAATTTATATATAAATTTATATATAAATTTTCATATATATATATATAAATAAAAATGACACTGGGAAACAATCACACACTGGTGATCCATTGATGACATAAATTAATAAACCATATATTACTGAGTAGTTAATTAGCTACCCTTTTGTTCACAACAGTGCTGACCTGATACCAAATCCCCAACTCCCAGTCCATATAAAAATAAAAATTAGAAGACATAAGTAACAGTTGCTTCAGGATGGGAACATTATACTGGATGAAGGAAATTAGCAAGATGACATCATAGCATTCTAACCAGGAAAGCCCCAAAGGGAAAGTCCTCTGCTGCTCATGGAGGAAATACCCTGTATTGCAGAAGTGGAAGGTCAGTGTGGGAACAGCTTTGTCTTTAAGCAGCATCATAAGCATATTGCGAGGAGTGCTGCTTTGTTCTAGCCAGCTGTGAACTACTAAAGCTATTGTGTTTTCTTCCACAGGGCTCCTAGCTGTTTATTAGCATCAGGGTGGTTAGCATTAACTCAACTAAAATACAAAGGAATTCAAGCATAAGCAGAAGGTTTGTTATACTGGGAACCTAATAGTTCTCTGACATCTTTGTTCAACTATACCTCTCATTATGTAATTAAAGCAAATACATAATACTGGCAGGCCATGGAAACTGCTACACGAAAACCTCTACAATGAAACAGAAAACAAAACAATACAGAAAGATACTTACTAGTTGGGTATATACACTTGTTTTAGCTTGCTTTCTGCTTCTGCTGCTTTCAATCGTTTCTTTAAAATGAAAAGAAAAAAGAAAAGTTAGAATAAGAAGAAAATACGGGCTATTTCAACTGGGAGTCAAGTAATATAATGGTAAAAACGTCAGGGCTTTTTAACAAATTATGAAGTTTTCCTTTCACTGAGCAGCCACCACAAAATCCTCTTCCAACAGGAAAATATCTACCAAAAACAACTGTGGGCATCAAATGACTACATACACTGCTTTTCAAAAAAGCCAAAGAGATGACAACCTACTATTTATAAGGACAAACTTTTCATTCCCATTCATTTCAATATAAATTCATACATTGTTCCTCCCACAATCCTTCTTTTTATTCCTGCAGAAGAAGATCTGACATATCAGTCTGTGTTTGTTCTCCATAATAATATTCACCAGTTGGACAATAACAGGTATCGTAATGCATCCTCTCCATCATATTTCCTCAACAGCTGAACCAATTCTAAGAGTTTGAACGAAGACTTCTTTGTGGATAGTCTTCACTTCTGAAGACTGAGTGACACTGGAGATCTTTTAAAAGTTAACAAGTCCAACAGCTCAACTTAAAACTGATGCAGAATTACCTGAAAGATTTTTTAGCTATGGTATGTCACCACTTCTGAATAAACATCAGCCATGGCCAACCTACACATTTGCACATTCTAAAGGTGAGCAGCTCTAGGTACGCAAGCACTATGCATTTATCCCCCTTTGAGACAAAAAAAGGAAAGAAACCCCAGGCACATGGGTGAATCTCAAGAGGACAGGTAGCAAAGAACATCAAGGGGGGTAAAAAGGGGAGAAGCTAATAAGAGCAAACAACAAAACCCTAATGAAAAACACCACTGCCAGGAGATATTAAGATACACAACAGAGAAGGGAAAACACATCGAAGAAGCAGACTTTCAGAGCATGGGCATACATGTTTAGAAGTAGACACTTTCTGTCTCTTTATGTGGCCCTACTTCACTAAAACCATCCACTAACTTCAGTCACATTTCTGAAGTAAATGGATTACAGGGTCCTTCCAATGGGATGTATGGAACAATTTCCCCCAGAACAGAAATGCTCCTGTTTGGTTTTTTTTTTTCAGTTATAGCTGTGAACTTGCTGATAGCCCACAAGAACACAGCAGAAGGAGGTAGTTACCATGAGCTTTACTAACTGGCCAAGAATTCCTTTTATAACTCAAACCTTCACACCATTCTAGTCCAAGCTCCCGTTCAAAGCTGGGCCCATGCCAACATGTCTGCATAAAGCCACAACAAAGTTTTCCAGACAAACCAGCAGCATGGTGATATTCTAGATGAACAGATTAGCTTAACATTTTCTATGCAGCAACTTCAAGACACAGTCGAGGAAAACAGTTGTAAAGCTAAAGTCAGTAGCTTTATAGACACAGGAAGCACCAAAAAATGTAATAAAATTGAACAGTGTGTCACTGAGAAACTGGACAAACATCAAAATCCTTTTTACAGGGACACAATGGACACGACACATGTAAAAACAATTAAGTGAAAGTTTCCTATAAGTGTAAAGCTTGCTTTGATCAGAGGGACAGTCTCAAGCAGGAGTTTTCCATTGGACAGCCTGACAGTTCTTCACCAAACCTCTCTAGACTCTCAAAGAATTCCTCTCTTGGCTTTTCCTGCAAATAAAGGTCCACCTATCTTAGAAATAAAAGAATGAAGTTGTCAGACAAGAGAAAAAGGACTGAGAAAACAGAACTTCTGGAAGTTATCCAGAGACTGTGAGTACACCTTCAGAGCTGCACCTAAAAGCTGACTTCTCTCTGCTGGTATAGTCAAATTTCCCAGATTCCTTCTGTTTAATCTTGTCTAGGACAAGGACAGCTACCTGAAAAATGTCATCAAGAAAACCCAAATAAAGATTTAGTGGAGACAAACCTTATCAATCCCACAGACTTGGATGAATCAATAATACACACTGTACTGACAGTCAGTGACTGAAATAAAGAGCTTATTCCTCTGAATACAAATCGCAAACTCAAAGCTGAACATTTTCAAACCACCCTGCCCAAGTCTTTCTATGTAAGCAATCAAAGCATCCAATGATGGACCACAAAGTGCTGTGACAATGGTTCTCCAACAGCATGAGAAACCCTCCCCTAGCCTCCAGACACTACCAAAAAAAAATTAAAAAAAAATCCTTCAACGAAAATGCACATTTTCAGATGTTTTCCTGCTTATGAACTGAAGGCTGTTCCACTCACAGCCTGGACTGAAAAACTGGTCTTCTTTCCCCAGGCACAGAATACCACAGGCAGTTATGTCAGCAGACGAACATCCACAGAGCTCATACTCTCCCCAGGAATTATAAGGAAGTCCAACATCAGATACTGATAAACAGATTAAAATACTGCTTGATGAACTCTGTGCAAGAATCATATTTTCTTGAGACATAAGGAGAAAATTCAGGGAACTTCCACTTGTAGAGAACCATTTGTCGTTCAATTTTGTTCTGTTTTGTTTTGTATTTCCACTAGATGTCTAGATTGTGGTGGAAAAAGGCTGCTGTTCTCTTGACAAAAACTCCCAAGGGGACTATCTAGAGTCATTATCACAGTTTTGGAAATCTATGAATGGAAAAAACTTCATGCAAGCACAATGCATTACCAGCAGTTGAAATACTCTACTATCCACAATGTAAAGTCATTTGTCTTGGAGACACGATTAACTTAGGGTATTAAGCAACATTTTAGTAAACTGGTGATGAATATTAATGTCACACCACAGATTTTCTTTGTGACTGATGACTATGGTGTGAGCTCTGAGCTAACAACTGTTGTAAGTCACCTGGACCTAGCAATACTCCCTTCTCCTATATAGCTGCCTGGGGATCAGCACAGAGCACAACAGACAGCATACACGTTTATTACAAACTAGTATACCAGGAAAACAAGGCTTTCAGAAGGCACTACAATGTACTGGATACGAAGAAGTTGGTTTTTCACGAAGTACTTGAGGCTGTTGACAATCAATAGACCAGATATGATGAGTTTCCTATTTTCTGACAGTGACCGATATCAGAAGGTACAAAAGGAAGGTGCCTGAAACGCAGCCACCTAGAATATCAGAATAATCCCTTCACAGAAAAAGTGCTTTGCTAGGTCCTTTGCCAGTTATTAATTGACTTATATCTGAAGCATATTTACGCTATAAATTCTTAATGTTGTCTGATGTAGTTATGAATGTCCTCATCCACAAAAAAAACCCTGAATATTTGTAACTTCTTGTAGTCTGGCCTAAATGAAATCTTTAGTATTTTAAGTTATTTATCTATGCACATCTGAAATATATCCTCTTATTTACTTTATCATATTTTCCCATCTATAAAAGGGAAATATTACCAACTTGTCTATCCCACAGGGACTAAGGGATTAAAATACTAAACACTGTACATTTGAGTTGGTGCAAATGTCTGCCCTTTATATATCCTCTCCCTAGATTTGACATCTTTCATTCTACCCACTGAGCTTGAAGGAGTTTATAATACATGATGTATCAGAGAAAGTGTTTGTGGTCATTTTCTAAAGAATGAACATTTATAAAGAGGAAGTAACAGAAGAAAAACAGGAACACTGAGGATATTTCAAGGTCCACAATGCAAGAATTGGGTTGGTAGACAGCACAGGGACACCTCAAACATCCTCAAATATTAATCCTTTATTAGTTGACGATAGGGAAGATAAATTGCATTTTCTGGATTTAGAGGAAAACTCTCACACTGTTTATTCTTTTTCAAAACTCCTGAGTGAGTATACAAGTGCTGCTGGGAGGTGGGGGAGATGGGACAGAAAAGGTAATTAGTCCACGATGCATTTGGGAGAACTGCTTTCAGCTGCCTGTGCTCCAGCCACACATCTCAGCAATGACATGTGACCTACGGCCTTTGTCATTTGCCAAAACTGCCTAGTTCCATGCTACTGTAGGCTTAAACAGGAGGTGTTTGGGAATAAAACATCCTACTATACAGAAAAACATTTTTTTAAATGTTATTTCTGATTTGCTAGTACACAGTACTTCATGAAGGCTATTACATTAAAATGTCACTCACAGCTCTTGGCTAGGTACAAAGAAGGCTTGCTTCCCTTAACAAAGATGTTTTCTATCCACATCAAGATTTACCCAGAGCTCCCTCCTTTAAGCTCCCTACCTCATGTAGTCTAATATAAGGGCACTTGCACTTTCTCCAGTATCTTCTCAACATTATGCATACCTTCAAACTGATTGTCTATTCCTCCTACACTTTTCTAATGGCACTTCCACATAAGAAACAGAACACTAGAAATTCATAATATTTGATCTTCCTTTTGAAGTTACATGCTCCTCAAGCACAGATTAAAAATGCAAAAAGTAAATTAAAGCCTTCAACTCTCAGAAAGCATATGACTAATTCAAACAGTCACCTGCCATTGCCATGTCCCGAACGCTTCTCAATTGCATCTCAACCGTTGTAAAGTGTTATGTTTTAAAGTTTCCAAGACATGGAAAACAGTAGAAGTATTTAAAGATCTTAAAAAAAAAAGTCACCCTGGAATTGACAACTACATAAGAACTCAACCTTTACTTTGAGTGAAAACGTAGGCAAACGCAAACATCACATCAACTCTTTATTAAAGAGAGTTTTCAAGTCTCTGGGGGAAGTCAATGAGCAGCAGTTACTCAGTGGATGCCATTTTAAATCTTTCTGAACCAGAAATACATGGTCTTGTGAACTGACACAGGAAATCTGTCTCAAGAAAAGGATGCATTCAAAGGAGACCCGGGATACTGAATTTGGAATGCATCTTGATCACTTTCTTCAGGACAACTCTGAAAGAGTGTCTTTGACAGGACAACTCTTGGGATCACTTTGGACAGACATTTAGGAGCCTACATCAGACCACAAATCGTGTGTTGACATTTCAGTAGAATTACTCCTCCTAGCAGTTCTGTTCTTGAAGGGTCAGTCGTCCTCATGAAGTGATTGAACTCCTCATTACACTGGTAACCTTCAAAGCATGGCATAGCTGAAGCCAAATAAAAATTACTGGTAAGAGATCCAAGTGCACACTTCAAAACAAGTCAATCTGCATCTATCTCAATCACAGTAGCCTACTCACAGCTGCCTTTCGATCTTAGGTATACCAAGCATAAGTATAAACTTATTGTTCAGTTCTGAGAAAGGGTCTTCTCTTGAAGTCAACTCAAAATTCAGCTTCCTCAATGGCAAGAAACAAATGGATTCTGCTTCAAGGATTATGACAATGCTTTTTTACTCCAAGAAAAACTCAAAGGAAATACGATGACAGAAAACTTCATTGCTATGTTGTGTAACTCGCAGAAATAGACAGTTTAAACAGATGTTTTTATGTTCATTCAGCCAAAGATTCTACAAGAATGAGCAAGTTATCAATATTTCTTTTTAAAGGCAATAGCATAGCACCTTGGAATATAATTTAATCATCCGGAATACACACTTTTCACATCCTTAGCACATTTTCAGTATCTTATGTACAAAAATTATTAGTCCCAGAATCATTTTGTGATATTAGACTAAGGAAAGAATCTACACAGACAAAACACTATGAAGAAATAGATGGAAAAAGTGGCAAGGGATGTGCTTTGTCAAAGACTGCACACATCAAGTAAAATATAAATGTAATACACCATTATTTCAACTACAACTTCCTATGCTTTCTTTGTGGTTATATATAGATAGCTCTCCCAGGCTTTTTATAAATGTTTAATAGTATTATTTGCTTGTACAAGCTGGGAATTTGAGATGAGGTCTTCAGCTCAGTTCAGACTTAATTGATGTCATATCTCTGTACTGCAATTTCTACCTGTTTGGCTTATACTCATGCTGTCTCCCAAGTGTAGAGCCTCTAATTGGAAGTTTTCCCCAAATCCCACTCCCTGGTACACTGCTGGGCAGCACATATAAGGTACAGTATAACCATGACATGAAACCCACTGCAGAGGAATACAGGAAAAGTACAAGAAACTGTATATTTATTGGGTTTTTTAATTGCTGGAAGAACAAATAAAGCCTTTCATAGAACTATCCCCTCTGCAATTTTGTAAAAAGAAAGTTCAAGAAAGTGGAAAAAGCAAAAGAATTTAAGAACTTCCTAATCAAGGCAGTTTCTTCAGTTGTTTTGCCTTTCAAGCACATAGGCCTGGAAGTGGACACCCAGGATACTAATGCGATCTGCCTCGTAAGGTATCCAAGAATGAACAACAAAGAAACCTCTCCCTAGCCCTTACTCCTGTCACCACCACCATTGTTGTATACCTCAAGATGGGCAGAAATAGAACTTCACCACTGTAAATGTATCGTGGACTTTTTGAACAGTATAGAGACTCTTTTTGGTTTAATTATTCCCAAGACTCCCTACTATCGTTTGCTGTTCTGACTGCACAGGGGTGACATTTTCATGTAACAGTCTAAGATTCTAGCTTTCACTGACTGATAAAATAACTTTCCTCACTTTTTCTCATACCTATCATATTACCAGATGGATTTTTACCACTAAAGAAGTGAGGTGAGATAAAAGATGCAGTGGATAAATGGATTCCTCTTGGTGAAAATATTGAGCATAGGACAGGCTGCGTACACTCAGCTATTGTCTCCTGAACAGCTCTAGTCAGACAGTAAAGCAGAACTCACTATATCAATGATACACACAGTTCAATGGGGAAGAAAAGACCATGATTTCATTTCTCCAGCACCTTTTTTCCCCCACCGTGTCAGCTTCCATCACCATATCCCACTTTCCTACCACCCATTTCCTTACCAGAAGGAAAAGTTTCAATCAAACAATGAACCTGGGGAAGTGTTGGAATGAGGATGCAGTTAATTTAAAAGTAATACAGAATTGATGCAAAAAAACAAAAAGAGTTCTCATTTGTCCTGAGGATCCCTCTGTGATTTAAACAGTGTTCCAGAGAGAAAACGGTAAAAATCACATTACAGACCAAGGAGCCCAAATATAGCACATGCCAAATATTGGTCAATGCCTCAGGCACCTAGTCTTTATTTCAAGCTGAATTTCCAATGAAGCAAGTTAAGGCAAGTTAAGGACATTTCTATAACTCCGCTTCTTCTAATACTTCAAATAGGTGCCTAAACAGAATACTGACAATTATAATGAAAAATCCATTATATATTTCTCTTTTAATTAATTTTCCCATTAAATATTATAAGTATTCAGCAACTGATACTCTGCAACATTTTGCATGCTGTTTGCATTGTGCTTGCTTTATTTAAGGGACCAAGTACCCTTCATATTTAAACAAGTAGAGATAAAAAATGATTGTAAACACTAGTCAAAGTTGATTCTTAAGTATAAGGAGTCTGGGAATTTGAGCCATCAACACTTCCCAGACAAACACTTTACTGGCAGTGCTTACATGGGGGAGCCTCCACGCACCTGCAGTCAAAGTCATGGGCAGCCAGAAGTGGAGAATTATCATGGATGCCTGTTGTACAGCAACTGTCAACCCCTCCATAAAAAGTCAAAACTGAAGGTAATGCTGACCGTGAACTCTACAGCCATAAATTAATTGCATTCCCTTCCCCAAACTACTGAAATTCCAAAACAGACATCTGAATGCTCCAAACAAATAATATAGCAGCAATGTGAAAAGAAAGCACAAATGCCAGTGCTACATGTTCGCATCTATGGAACGGTTGATGAGTTTAGTGACAAGAGATTTTTTCAGTGCTTCAGATAATTACAGAACCCACTTCTTGGAAAGGCTGAACCCCAAGAGGAAAAATAAAGCAACAATGCTTGGTTTCAAAGGCAAGAAAAACATCTTCTGTTAGAATGAAAGAGGTGATTCTGACTCTCTTACCTGCTGAACATATCTGTCTGTAGTTTTCCACATATAGTAATATTCTATTATGCTTGTTAAGGACTTCCATGGGAGCTAGGGACATAAAGGAAAAGCAGCAGTCATTGCAGGGAGCTGGCACACAGCCCCACTGAAAATCACAGGATTCATTTGATGGACAGTTTATAGCAGAGACTTGCAACTACTAACCCTCCTAACAAAAAAAGACAGTCAGTGTCTCAATCTCCTTAGGGCATTAAATGCACATGGGACCCATGTTACATTAGATGTCCTTTCAAAAAATAGTGCTTTCAATGTAGAAGTAGAGCAGGTTACAGGAAAATCTTCATGCCACATTGGCTCCACAGTAAACCATTGAAGGGAGGCACAATGTGGAAGGGAACCCACTGTCTAAGACTCTCTCCACTTGAGCAGCAAAGACTGGAGCAAGAGCCACAACTACATTACCACAGCTCTGATCTTCCTGGCTTCTATGGAGCTGCCTTCCCCACCCCCCTCCAAAAAAGAGTAATAACTACTAACAGAACTGTGCCCTGCCAGCTTTGCTCTCTGTGTGAGAAGCACGAGGATTTCAGCAGGACCACAAAGAGTGTTGTGCTGTTTCCAAGTCCCTCTGTCTAAAAGATGAGAACACAGGACAAGCAACACTGAAACTACTTGTTTTGTTCCAGGGGACTCGAACAGCGATACAGCAAAATTTGGCTCTCTTTACAGTGGTCCGTTCAATCTGTAGGCTGAGCACCTAGGGTGAAACTTTGGCCAAACTACAGGACACTTCCCTTGGATGCCCAGGATTCCTTTTTAAAACTTTCAAAAGGCCCTTTCTGAAACTGCATTATAAAAGTGACTAAATTTTCATGTTTCAGAAGGCCCAGTACTTATTCTCCTTCAAACACAAATTAATCTACAGCAGCTAGGCTGTCACAACACTTTCCTAAATCCTCCCTCAGCTGTAGTGGAGCAGATGATTTTAAATTAATGTCTCTAAATGAAAAGCTATCTTCTGAGATTTGAAATTCTGCCTGTATAACAGGCTGTCATCAGCATGAGGTCTGCCTTTCCCCAATTTACAGCAAGACACATGCTCCAGTTCAAAGCCCTCTTCTTCAACATGAAGAAAAACAACATAGTTTAGACAAGCTGTAAACCAGTTCTGTCACTGATCAGAACTGGTCACCATGTGGGCTCTCACTTTATATACTTACAAAATCTTGCTGAATGTCAGTGAAATCTTTTCCATATTTTTCTAGCGCTTCCTCGAAGAGGTTTGCCTCTGAAGCAGACCACTCTTCCATCTCATCTCTGCACAGGACTGGCCCACCTTGTGGCACAAGCGCAGAGATTGCCTTGGAAATGTCATAGACATTTTTGTGCAAAGTGTCCATAGCATGGAACTACATGGTTGTAAGAGAGAAAAATAAATGTAAGAACAAACATCTACGGAGAAAAAAATGCTTTACAATGAAACAGCAGTAACAAGAATTCTGCACCAAGTATTTGAGGGTGCAGTGTTCTTATACCTAAGACATAGTCAGTAAAAATTTGTTCCAACCTTAGATTCACTGTGACTTAGCATACAAGTCTAACATTCCCTAACAATATTGGGGTTTGTGAAACACAAGCCCTTGCCTATTGGTAAGTCCTATTTAGCTACTCACCAGCACCACCACTGTAGCACTACTGATAAGAAAATTCGTAGGATAGAGACCCACTCACTCAGGACTGAGCAGCCCTGTTAGGTACCACCATCCACAGATGGGGCATGAACATAGAGGTCCAACAGCATATTTTCTAATAAACTTAGCCATGCACTTTCTTCATCAAACAATCCACAAAAATTGCAAATAAGAAAAATATTTAAGGGCAGCAACCCATGCCAGAAATCCCAAAAAAGATTCAAGTCACACATCATAGCTGAGTAGGAAAAAAGAATTACTCCCTGGAGCAATTACTCTTCAGAAAGCTGAATTACAACTGTCTGCAACTTGTGATTTACAAGGGCTGAGTGCATGCTGTGAGGGAGGAATTGGTGTTAGTATATGAAAGCTTGGTTTTATTTCCTGATTTCTGTAGTTTTAATCAGGATGTTATTTGCCTTTCATCATACCAGTCATGTGCACGTGCATAATTTATCTATATTGTTCTACCCTAGAATTTGTTCTATATATGATTTCATATTATTCCAGTTAGGAGGTGAGGCTTTGATAACAGTTCTCTGGAGACTTCTTAAATTTTATTCAAATTTTCATTAAACTCTCTCAAGCATGTAAATTCAAGTTTTCCCTTTTTTCTGTCAACTCAAAATCACTTGTGATTATAAAATATTAACAATGTCACCACTCCTCAGGAACTCTAAAATGAAGCTCCTCAAAGACAAGAACTGGATCAATTGAAATTTCTTATCTGGCCACAAGTTTTTCCCCCACATGATCTTGCCCAAGGATGCCAGTAACAGTCTGGTGTTGGAAAAGTGATGAGGAGTGGCACTCTGGCATTATAACATTGCAGACAGGCAGATAATAATTTGTATTCTTCTCAAGACAGCTACTAAGCCCATGTGGGATATGGGCTGTGAAGTATATCATCAAAACATTGTAATAAAATGAAACAAAGATAAAATTATCTCATAGAATTATCCATGATGGATCATAGGAGGCACAAGGCCAGAAAAAGTTACTTCATATGTAAATAAAGGGTTCCTTTACAAAGCTGGGATCTGCTTCACAGCAGGCCACAATTACAATCCATCTGCCCTCTCTCTTTGCCAACTGTTATTGCTGAGGTGAATATTTTGCATCTCTCAGAACCTTAAGATCCTCTTAAAAAATCTTACCAGTGTGATGTCCCTAGAGGCTGCTGCAGCACTCATGTGCAAACTTGGCTGTCTGACAGAACTACTGCAATCTAGCGCTCGGGCAAAAGTACCAACAGACCTGAAAGAAATTAAACAGAGCATTAACTTTGCATGCAAAACAAGCATAAATATAAACACCCAACCAACACTTTTTGAGATCAGCAGACTCCACTTCTTAGTAAAAAGATTACATTGTTTGGCACTAGTTCTGAGCCAGAGACTGTTCTCTTCAGATGTGGTTTGTTATTATGAACACTTTACTCAGTTGATACGACCGAAGAGGCTCTGGCGTAGGAGGGGAGACAGTGAAAGACTCAAGGATCACAAACAGGGAGTTTTGAACTATTCTCTTATCCCTTATAGAATCATAGAATGGTTTGGGTTGGAAGGGACCTTAAAGCTCATCTAGTCCCAACACCCCTGCCATGGCCAGGGACACCTCCCACTAGCCCAGGTTGCTCAAAGCCCCGTCCAGCCTGGCCTTGAACACTGCCAGGGAGGGGGCAGCCACAGCTTCTCTGGGCAACCTGTGCCAGTGTCTCGCCACCCCCACAGTCAAGAATTTCTTCCTCAAACCAAATCTAAATCTAAATCTACCCTCTTTCAGTTTAGAACTGTTACCCCATATCCTATCCCTACACCCCCTGATCAAGAGTCCCTCCCCAGCTTTCCTGTAGCCCCTTTAAGTACTGGAAGGCTGCTATAAGGTCTCTCTAGAGCCTTCTCTTCTCCAGGCTGGACCACCCCAACTCACTCTGTCTGCTCTCATAGGGGAGGTGATCCAGCCCACTGATCATCTTTGTGGCCTCCTCTGGACCCACTCAAGCAGCTCCATGTCCTTCCGATGTTGGGTGCTCCCAGAGCTGGACACAGCACTGCAGGGGGGGGTCTCAGGAGAGTGGAGTAGAAGGGGAGAATGACCTTCCTCGACCTGCTGGCCACACTTCTCTTGATACAGCCCAGGACACGGTTGGCTTTCTGGGCTGCGAGTGCACACTGTTGGCTCATAATCAGTTTTCCATCCACCAATAGCCTGAAGTCTTTCTCCACAGGGCTGCTCTCAACCCACTCTTCTCCCAGACTGTATTTGTGCTTGGGATTGCCTCAACACATGTGCAGGGTCTCTCAGACTTAAGCTTTAACAGAAACTGAGCACAAGCCATCTTTATGAATGGCAATAGTCTCTTCCACAATGGCAAGAGCAGGGCTACATTGTCCAAAGGTACAGAGGCAGATGCCAAGACCAGACAGAAAAAGATTCAGTAATGCAAGCAATTTTTCAAAAAAAATCAGTAAAATAAAAAACAATCTTTGTTTTACAACTAAATATTGTGTAATACACATATTATATATCCTGCATAATAATACAGCAATTCTCAAACATTTTTCAATGCCAGCCATTCCGGCATCTGAGACCACAATCCCCATGCTCCTTTTATTCCTAAAGGAATTGGAAAAACTTTTAACAGGAACATCGATTCCAGCAATTCCTACTCCCCTCACTGCTTGCTACATCACATGGGTGAAACGCTTGTGCTCCTGCATGGTGAACTGGAGCTGAACTCCTCTGAGCAACTACTACAACAAGAAAAATTTAGGTAGGTCTCTTTTCCCTACACTCAGATCATGTCCCCAAATTAGTTGAATGCATAGAGGAACAAACTAGTGCCAAGCAGTGAAGGAGTAGGAAAGGTAAATGCTTAAGCAGTAGTTGTCATCGAATATCTAATTTTGGCCAAAATCCAAAACAATCTCCCCCACCCAAGTTTCTGTGGCGATTCACACTTCGCCCTCTCCCCAGCCTCCCATCACTATCCCAATCTCTGCCTCACAACTCCCCCGTCCCCTGCTTTAGCTGAACTGAAACTTTTTTGTCTGTGTGTGTGGCATCTAATTATAAATTAGATCACTGATTCCAGACAGAGGCAATTTTTATACTGATCTTTTCAGTGGTTCTCATTACAGCACATACTTTCAAGCAGCTGTATCAGTGGTGAACAGCCAGAAAGAACCACTAAAACCAGCCTCGCCACCAAAAGCCTACACAAGTTGGAAAGCCCCATCACAAAGCAGCTCTACAGTCACTGTAAACCAACCCACATGCAAACCCCCAGCCGCTGGGGCACTTACACCCTCTCACTTCCTGCTGGGTCTTCCTGAGCACTGTGTGACTGAGTGGCAATTTGAATCAATCCTGCTGAAAATTAACCCAGAAAACAAAGTTCTTCAGCTTTTCAGTGGTGTCCTGTACTTCATCTGACAGAAGCAACTGTGAAACAGCAACCTTTTCAAGAAGGGTCCCTAAGAGGCAGGAATACCCTTTGCTGGAGATATCCCAGCTCTCCCCATCACTCCTTCATCTGTTTGTTCTGCATCACTGGTGGAGATTATCCTCTCCCCATTTTCATCCATTTCCCTATGTCCATCTGATCAAGTAGAATTAATCTTCTGCACATAAATCACTTAGTTCAGCCAGTGACACTGTACTGTTGGCACAGTTCAAGGGGAACAACAATGTATCATGTAAGCAGCACAATGAAACTTCCAAGAGCCCAAATTTTATGGTGATTCTTTAGCGTAGCCAGAACACTGTGAACTTTATGAACCTTAAAAAAGTCTATACAACAAAAAGCACACATTTAACCAAAGGCAAAAATGTATTAATGGATTCTGAACAGTGACACTTTGTTCAATCTGGACTGCAGTTAACATTTTTAATTAAACCAACCTAGTTTTACTCTTGACTCCCTGTTACTGGACTTGCACACAGGGCCCAAACAGTCATGCAAAGGTTTAAGTGTTGCAATTCAGAATAGCCATTTTAAAAATTTTTGGCGAAAGTTCATAATAATGGCAAGATCTATCTTCAAAGTACAAAGAAAAATCAATTTGGGTGTTTATTTCTGAGTACACACACTTCTCGAGTACTTAAAACATCATGTTTCACCACCTCCCTCATTTTCCTCAATTCTTCTCCCCCCCCCCCCCC